AGCAAATTTAGCCAAGAAGTTTGACACAAGAGTCAGGTATATCGAAGATCTGATTTTGCTCAGTAAAGGTCAAATAGACAAATTACTTCCACTGATTTACCCACCTGAACTAGAAGGATTCAATGACATAAAACTATTCAAAAGACTCTGTGACAAGAAGGACGATTTCAAATTTCCAATAATCAGTCTAGCATTATTCTAACAGCTCCAGCCTTTGGTGTCAACATGGTCACAACTTTTGAAGTATGATCAAGCATGCTCAATCTATGAAGATTTCAAAGAGCATCATAGACTCCTTAGTGATGGGTACTGGCCTGGCTTTTGTATTGCAAGTTTTTGTAATAAGGAATCATGTACTGAGATATGTGCTAGGGTTGAAACAATACTGCAAGGTCACGATATGATACGTATCACAAGACATAGGTCACGATATCTTGACATGCCTAATTAGGTCAAATGGCATGGAATATTTCAGAGCAGGTTCAAAACATAAAGCTAGCTCCAGACACATTAGTAGTGACCATGTTTGGTAGTGAACTTGAAACCCTAATTACGCATTTGACTTAGGTTCTATGAGGGTGGTGTTCACTTCAGGAGCATAACTCAAAAACCGTTAAATACCTTCCTTACAAAAGTTTGCATGTCTACCAGGCACATACTGAACTGGTGCCTTTTTATCCCCCGCCGCGCGAAAGCGCGAAGCGGGGGATATAGTATTCACGACCGTCCGTACGTCCGTCCGTACGTCCCACCTGTTTGTTGCCGCGATATCTCAAGAACTAAACACTGGATTGTCTTCATATTTGGAACTATGGTGTATATACAGACTCCGCAGACACCAGTCGGTTTTGGTGACCTTGATCCCATTTTCAAGGTCACAGCAGGCAAATCTACTTTTAGAGTTGGAAAACGGTGTTGCCGCGATATCTCAAGAACTAAACCTCTCGATTGTCTTCATATTTGGAACTATGGTGTATATACAGACACCGCAGACACCAGTCGGTTTTGGTGACCTTGACCCCATTTTCAAGGTCACAGCAGGCAAATCTGCTTTTGGAGTTAGAAAACGGTGTTGCCGCGATATCTCAAGAACTAATCGCTGGATTGTCTTCATATTTGGAACTATAGTGTATATACAGACACCGCATACACCTGTCAGATTTGGTGACCTTGACCCCATTTTCAAGGTCACAGCAGGCAAATCTGTTTTTGGAGTTGGAAAACAGTGTTGCCACAATATCTCAAGAACTAATCGCTGGATTGTCTTCATATTTGGTACTATGGTGTATATGGCGGGGGATATTTCGTCACTCTGTGACAAATACTTGTTGCTATTTAGGAATTTTAGAAAATTTTATGCTTCTTCAAGAACATTCAACTCTTGATTCATTACATACAGAATTGCACATTTACTTTTGGAGGCAGGTTTCATTGCCGGAGCAGAACTAAAAAACTATCAACATTTTTCATTCAAACTTGGTACATGTATTAATCTAGGAGTGCAGTGCCTTTTGCTATTTAGGAATTTTAAAACAAATGATTTTTTCCTGTTTCCATGTCAACAAGTTTGACTCTGTTCATAGTGGTGTATTTGTCCGGACCATATCTCTAAGACTAATTGGTATTCTTTCAAAACTGTGCACACACAAAGACCATGTTGTCAACTGGTGCCTTTTGCTATTTAGGTTATTTTTAGAAAAAAAAATGTTTTCCTTAATTTGAATTTGACACAGTTCATTGTGGTGTGTACCTGACATTGAAATACAAAGTTCTGAATCCCACTCCCATGGTATAGTTTTGATAGCTCAATAACTACTCTTGTATACAAACAGACAGATTCAATAGAAATTCTCTCGTGAAGTTGGACTTACAATAAGAGTCAGATGATTTGTTCTTTCGAATTTGTGGGGGCCAGGGGGATTTGTCAACTTCTGATGACTCTTGTGTAAAGGTAGCTAGATGCCAAGTATTTGAGCCTGATCTGAGGTTGTATTTTGTAGGCATGTATTTCCTACTGATGTCTGAATTGAGCACAAGTGAAAGGTCCTGTGACATGGGGATACAGTGGTGAAGGGATTGCTTCGGTTCTTACTTGTTTCTCTTACTAAAACCAACTATAGAAGATTCATAAAGATGATTCAGCCATTCTTGGCCTTTAGACGTTCACAGCTTGTAAAATATTCTGGGGAAATTATTTTGTTGTTGATTTAATCTAATAAACAAAGTGTGTTCATGCAACGCATCAAAAGATTTCTTGTTAAAATTGTAGTGTTTTCTGGGAAAATTGTAGTGCAGAATTATTCTCTTTGGAAATATAAGGCTTAGAGGGAAAAATTAATTTGTGTATCACAACAGGTAATATATACCTTCTAGCAGATTGAGAAACATTGTTCCATATTTGTTGATACCAGGGGTCCGGAAAATTTAAAATCCCAATCGGACATTTGCATTTAGGCCACGCCCCCTTCAAATAGCGTATTTTAGTACGACTTTTCACACACATTACAAGTTTACGTATTCATAATATGATGAATTATGAATTGTTTTAATTTAAATTGTTTAATTCACCGGACAATTAATAACAAATAATATCATTTTAGATTTACATGGAAAACATACGTTTGTTTCTGTTATAATAACGATCTTTTAACGTAGTGAACGGTCTAATTAATATTCATGAGTTATATTTATGAGCCTGCTCAAGTGTACGCGTGGTAACATTTGGATCGAGACTATTATCCCATATTTGGTTATCACGTGACCTCACGGGAAAAGGGTTTTTTTAAACTAAAGATTTTTTTAAAAACAAGACAGACAATTTAATCACAAATACTAAAATATTGTTGATAGCAATAGTTATTTGAATACTTTTTTCATCTGTACTTAATTATTGACCATAAAAAAATTGGATATCGATCGACGAGAAAGCAAAATGGCGGTCAATCAAGATTCAATGTACGACTAGCTACTGAAAACAATAACATCTGCAAATCCTCATTGTATGTCAACCAAGTGAAAGTCGTTAGCCATGACTTAAAAATGATCGTCCAGACTTTGAGGGTTTGGCAGATCCGCTCGACTGATCTGCATCGGTCGACTGGCTGTCGTCACGCTTTCGCTTCTTGTCTGAGGTTACGTATCGTAGCATTGTGAGGATAATGAGGTACATCAATGATGCAAGGTATTAATGTACAGTTGTAAACACCTTTCACTCAAATTAACAAGATGTTCTCAGTAATTAATCCTCGATTAATCAGTGTCAACTCAGTTTATTGCCTATTACAGTGATTGACCGGTTGGACTATCATGTAGGTACGATGTATTTACAGCAATCAAAACAAACAAAGCTTGTCAGTGTAGTTAATCTTCATTGTGTTGCAACTGCAGACAGAAACTGCTCAGTCCTAACTGTTGATCATGTCCGGTCAAAATTTAAGAATGTCCGGACAATACCTTTTAAAATGTCCGGTAAGCAATATTTTAAAACGGACATTTGAGATTCCCAATCGGACATGTCTGGCGCATATGACGGTTTCCGGACCCCTGGTTGATACTTTTGTCTCGAGTATTTATGCAGAAAAAAAATTTGAATAGCAATGCTGACAGCAGGTTTTGTTAAGTGGCTGACTTTGTTGTCATTTCAAACTGTTGATTCAGTTGGGATAGTACCAGAATATGGTCCATCTGGCCATCTGGGAGCTCTAGCAGAGTGATGGGAGCTCATAGCAGACTGATGGGAGCTCTAGCAGAGTGATGGGAGCTCATAGCAGACTGATGGGAGCTCTAGCAGACTGATGGGAGCTCTAGCAGAGTGATGGGAGCTCATAGCAGAGTGATGGGAGCTCTAGCAGAGTGATGGGAGCTCATAGCAGACTGATGGGAGCTCTAGCAGACTGATGGGAGCTCTAGCAGAGTGATGGGAGCTCATAGCAGAGTGATGGGAGCTCTAGCAGAGTGATGGGAGCTCATAGCAGACTGATGGGAGCTCTAGCAGACTGATGGGAGCTCTAGCAGAGTGATGGGAGCTCATAGCAGAGTGATGGGAGCTCTAGCAGAGTGATGGGAGCTCATAGCAGACTGATGGGAGCTCTAGCAGACTGATGGGAGCTCATAGCAGACTGATGGGAGCTCTAACAGAGTGATGGGAGCTCTAGCAGAGTGATGGAAGCTCTCGCAGTCTGATGGGAGCTCTAGCAGAGTGATGGGAGCTCCAGCAGAGTGATGGGAGCTCTTACTGAGTGATGGGAGCTCATAGCAGAGTGATGGGAGCTCTAGCAGAGTGATGGGAGCTCTAGCAGAGTGATGGGAGCTCATAGCAGTGTGATAGGAGCTCTTACTGAGTGATGGGAGCTCTAGCAGACTGATGGGAGCTCTAGCAGACTGATGGGAGCTCTAGCAGAGTGATGGGAGCTCTAGCGACTGATGGGAGCTCATAGCAGTGTGATGGGAGCTCTTACTGAGTGATGGGAGCTCTAGCAGAGTGATGGGAGCTCTAGCAGACTGATGGGAGCTCTAGCAGAGTGATGGGAGCTCATAGCAGACTGTTGGGAGCTCTAGCAGACTGATAGGAGCTCATAGCAGAGTGATGGGAGCTTTTACTGAGTGATGGGAGCTCCAGCAGAGTGATGGGAGCTCTTACTGAGTGATGGGAGCTCATAGCAGTGTGATGGGAGCTCTAGCGGAGTGATGGGAGCTCATAGCAGTGTGATGGGAGCTCTAGCAGAGTGACGGGAGCTCTAGCAGAGTGGTGGGAGCTCTAGCAGAGTGATGGCAGCTCATAGCAGTGTGATGGGAGCTCTTACTGAGTGATGGGGGCTCCAGCAGAGTTATGGTCTTTCTGCAGTCTTTAGGACTGTTGTCTGCATTTATTATTGAGTTGTAGCTTTTCATCAGATATGTTTTGTTTTCACCAAAAGCCTGAGTTTCTTGTTTGCAATCGTATGGTTAATTTTATTGACAATTGTCAGCCATGTTTTTAACACAGTATATATTTCTTGCAGGTGGAAGATCAGATGAAGCTACTCCAAAACTCCTGGAGTGAAATACTTATTTTGGACCTAGTATTCCGTCAAGTCAGCGAGTCTTGGTCTAGTGACATTATTCTGGTGAGTAGAAAAGTGGTCATACTTTGTAACAAACATGAGAAATATTACTCAAGTTCAAGATTAATTACTATATTCTTTACCAATTCAAAATAATGGTTACAAAGTACATAGTTATTCAAAAACAATTGACACAATAACCCTCCCTTAAATACGTAGCAAAATATAACCACATGATTTGACCTACATTAGGCCTATCTGAATAATACTGTACTTACAATAAACAAACAATCTGTTACACATATTCCAAGGCAATTTTAATTATGGATATCTTTTTCTTTGACATAATTCCCACAAGTTTGATCATTAGATCCATACGTGTCCCATCTTTTTTGTTTGTTTGGTGAATTTGAACACACTTCACGCACAAGTTTTAAAACACTATCTGGCATTACTTGCCTTTTGTCTACACCAATCCTTCATCTGCTGCTACGTTTAATATCCATTTCTCCAAGTCCAAGTACTTAGGATCTCTCGAAACACTTTGTGTATTCAGCTCAGTCCAGAAGTATTTGTAGCGCTGTTTTCAAATCGAGAACATTTCTACAACTTGATGGGGCACCATTCCCTAACCAAGATTGCCTGTGCTGTGTCACGTATGGTTGACAAAAGCAGTGTGAACAGACATCTTTGCCTTAAACTGGTTCCACAATGAAATCTGGCTGTGACACTGATCCACTGATCCCAAGAATCGGCACTGAATTTTTCAAAGTTTCTGTTGCACTTTAAGGGCGGGATGAGAGGCGCCATCTTGTTGATTCGATTTGACATTCAGAATGATGTCTTCTTGAATTGGAAATTTCTCTACGATAAAGTCATCCTTGTCAAAATGGAAATGTCAAAAGGCTCCCCTGATCATCTTGAACAACTCTTCCGACAAACTAAGCGTCTCACAAAATGTTTCCTTGCTCATATTGAAGACAACCGAACTTGTAAAGTACTTGACAGTAAACTCTTGTCATAAGCAGTACCGGTAATCAAATTTGGTTGCGCGCTTGAGGCATGGCTGCTAGGATATCACGTTGTCTGAATAGGGGCAAACAAAACGTTTTACAATCTAGACTCCTGCAGTGCAATCAGAAAATACCATGCACAGCATGTTTTTATAATAATATTCACGGAAACAATTCTTAACTAATGAAAACAAATCTATTTATTAATTCATCCCGAGGTCATAACCCTGATTGTGTGTGTGTGTGGGGGGGTGTGTGTATTGGAAGGAATCTTGTGATGATGCCGTGAAGGAGGTTGTGTGTATACATTGTTGAAACCAACTGACCAGGAAGATTGTCGAGCCATTGACATTATGACAGATGCTTGTCATGGATTGAGAAAAAATGCATCTGAGAGTGACATTGTTACTTTGAGCTGCAAGACCCAAAAACGTGTTCATGTCGAAGTAGTTACAAGAGATGATGATCCGTGTAGCCAGCGACCTTAATAATGTTGATTATTATCATGTTGAAATCCATGTTCATGCCATGGCAGAATAAATGTGAACAAAATATTTATCTGAACCACATTTCAAAGTATGTGAGGCTCTCCATGTTTTATCTGAGTTCCCCATCTCATGAAATAATATAAATTTTTCGTATCTCATCTTTTCCTGTAGCTGTGGAAATTTGTGCACCGATCTAATTACTGCTGCCATTGCACCATCATAAAAGAACCAGGTCAACTTTATCTTTCTTCAGCTGTTTATCAAAAATTTGTTTCCAAAGCAAAGAGACTTGTATCATAAACTAATTTATAGACTAGTACCAAGTGTTTTTAAGTTCCATAAAATATTACTTAAAATAACTTATAAAATTATCGAAAATAAATTTTGTTAAATTTTAAATTTTGTTTCATCTGTCCGCTCTTTTGTTTGTTGAGGTTAGAGATGAGAAACTCACATATATGGATGACCTTAAGCAAATGATACTTGGCATGCCACGAAAGGAAGAAACAGGGAATTAAATCTGGGTCATGGGGACCCGCAGAATGACTAAGGCAGGTGGAGCTTGCGGACAAGTGTGATTCTGCCAAAACATTGCTACTGGGCAATGAAAACGTGACGGAAATGACAAAAACCTACTTTCGTCACTTGGAAATATTTTTGACAATTACCAGGGTTTTCACGATCATTGTGAGCGAGATTCCAGTTCATTTCGAGGTTTCAAATGGAAGTAGATACCTGATTTAATCTTATTTAACTAATCAGAATCCAGCATTCTTCAGTGTTATGTCGAATGATGACAAAGACATTATCGCCACAGGTTCATTAATGACTTTGGAACTCACTTTGGAATGTATCACAATGCACTGTGACTGACTTACTGAGGTAGTTCTTAACATACATTTAGGAGATAAACCTACTGTGTTTTGAAATTTGAGCGTGGTTCCAAGTTAAAATAGGATGCATCAATCCGCAGCGATACAAGCTCCGATAGCAGGGCAGGAACACTTTAAAATGTTAGTCTCTTGGAACGTGTAATTACACTAGGGTACATAGCTTTCAGAGAACGTTCTGAAAAGCGGTAGTGATAAATGTAACAAATATTACTCAAGTTCAAGATTATTTCAAACTACCCCTACACGATTTCGCCGAAGTGAATGTAAACAATATTGAATGAAATTTTTAATAAAATTGATCAAATAGATTACAGATATAAGTCCAGATATACAATAAACACTTTTTATAACCATGCCGTGATTAGTTTGCGTACTTCAGTACGGATTTGTTGACATGGTATTTTCGGTGTAATGTGCTCACAGTAACGTCTTTGTGTGGAGGGAAAAAAAATCAAAACTCAACCTTGTCTAAAAGACAATCCCCCCTTGAAAGCCGCCCTAATTCTAGGTGTTAAAAACCTGCCTTCTACGCAGCGGTATATGATATTCAAAATATTATGGTTACAAAATACAAACATTTTCAAAGAGAATTGATAAAAAAAATCTAAATCAAGTGAGCTTATGTCATGGCCTGTGTGTCCATCATGCACCGTTAACATTTGCTCAAAAGCTTCACAGGTTAAGTTGAAACTTCACATGCTTATTCCAACAAATGATAACGCCAAGTTTGTTCAAGCAGTTCAAATCTGATTTTCAATATGGCCGCTATAGCAGTCACATTGAAAATCCTTTTTATGTCCACTTCTGTGTTTGCATGTAATGCAAACTCCTGTCTGGTCAGGGTAACAATTTCTCATTGTTCATTCATGTTCATTCATAGATTGAAAGCCATGTTAAGAATGTAACCCCCATAATTCATGTGTACATGAAATGATCTTTTTGCAGAACACTGACTGTGTGTGAAGCTTTGGCCCACTTTTAGCCACATTTACTGAACACCCATGAAGATCCGGGTTAGAATAGGTCTTCAGCAACCCATGCTTGCCGGAAGAGGCGACTTTGCTTGTCGTAAGCAGCAACTAACAGGATAGTGGGGTTAGACTTGCTGACTTGGTTGATGTATGTCATCATATCTCATTTGTGAGGATAGATGCTCATGATGTCAGTCACTGAATTGTCTGGTCCACACTCGATTATTGACAGACCGCCATCACATGTCTGGAATATTGCTGAGTGTGACGTTAAACAACAAACACACAAACAAAACATTTAAGTAAATTGACGTTTCGTTTGTCCAGCGTGCATAGTACATTATCATGTCTTCTCAGAAACAAATTGGCCAATGAAGCTTACATGCTTGTTCCCACAAAGATTTATTCAAGAGGCTGAAATCCATTTTTCAATGTGTCCACCACGTCAATCATATTGAAAAACCTATATATGTCCATTTCTTTTTATCCCACCGGCATATAATGCGGGGGGATATAGCGATCAGCCAGTCTGTCCGTCCGTCCGTCGGTCTGTCCGTCCATAATCATTTCCTTTTCCGGGGCAGAACTCGAAAACTATTCAGCGTATTTGATCGAAACTTGGCAAATCTATCAGTCACATACTGAAGTTGTGCCTTTTGCTATTAAAGAATTTTATCAATTTCTATTTTTTACGTTCATGGCAACAAGTTGGACTTAGGTTCTATAGGGTAGAGTTCGTTTCCAGAACTCGTTTCCAGAGCATAACTCAAAACCCATTCAAAACTTTCTAACTAAACTTTGCATGTCTATCAGACTCATGCTGAACAGGTGCCTTTTGCTACTGAGGATTTTAGAAATTTTTATTTTTTACGTTTCCATGGCCACAACTTGGATTTAAGTTTTAATATAGGGTTGGTTCACGTATGGAGTATAACAAATAAAATGTATGCTTCTTCAAGAACATTCAACTCTTGACTCATTACATACAGAATTGCACATTTACTTGTGGTTACTTTACAGACAGCTGCCGGGGGGATATGCCATCTTTCTGATGACTCTTGTTCAAAGTTGAATGAATATTTGATACATGTGTAGTTAGTAGTGGGGCTCAACATACACTTTATCGACGTTATCGGGATATAGTCGACGCCTCGTCTCACTGTTAGTCTTAGTTAGTTAGTTTTATTTTTCTCGATTTCCATGGAAACAATTTGGATTTTGTCTCAAAAGGGGAGGTAGGTGTCGTTTCTGGAGCAAAACGTGAAAACTGTGAAAGGCTTTTCATCCAAACCTGAGGCGTGAGTTGCAGCCTTACCTCTTCTGCCAATCAACCAAGTGCAGGATGCAGATGGAAGGAAAATTGAACAATTAACAATTAACTATGTCACTGCAACCTGGCTGAAGGATGACGCACGCTCTCCTTGTAGCCTTTGGAACCAGCATGACAACACCAGACCTCGCTCTGACACCTACTTGGAGGTTTCTAATCATGAACATGTGGCAGCAGCAATAAATATCAGACCCTGTTACACTAGTCAATGCTCTCACATGTGTCCAGAACTTGTCATTGTTGAATGTCTTGAATGAGGCATGTGCTCTGCTCTGAGTCCATGAAACTGTATTGGAAGCAGGCATTGGAAGCTATACTGTCAACACTGCCCAAATAGATAAGTTGCAAGTCAAATCGTAGGAGGCATCCAATCTCTCTGGTCCAGTCTCATTAACTCTTGACATTTTATGAGCACTTCCATTAACTGATCCTAACAATCATCAGAATCAACTTACTCTATACACCACCACATAACACTTTATTTTAAGTTTTGACCTTATTTTCAACCACAATGATAGCTGAAACTTCTAATGGCCTACATGACATACTCTTATGGCACTGCCAGGCTGAGGAAGCTGAGCTCTTGCATGTGTGTTCCTCCTTATCTTGACATCATGTTTTGTTCAAATCATTTGATTTTAGTTTTAAGTTTTGAGTCCTCAGTATTTGTGTGTGAAAATATTTCAATAGCAATATTAGCTAATTGAGTAATAAGAGACTACATATCCAGGTGAGCTACAGTGCCTGTGGTACTTTAATTATTTTAGGAGTCTTGTTTTATCTTTAAGGTGTTTTTTTAATAATATTGGTCTATGACGTTGCAAATACTCTGACTGATCCAACTGAACCCTGTGGTTTCACTTTTTGGATACAAAATATTTTTTGGTTGATTGTGTTGCTTTACTGTTTCAGGCAAGTGGCCATAGGATTGGCTTCGATGTGCTGGACAAACTGGGCCTGAGTGATGTAAAGGCTAGAATTTATGAACTCATAAAAAAGGCCAAGGACCTTAAGATTGATGTCTATGAATATGCGTGCCTTAAATTTCTGATTTTGCTCAATCCAGGTAAGGCATAATTCCCTTTAAATTCATTTATATAATACTACTGCATGTTAAAGTTTGTCTCATGTTGTGAATAGATTGTAAACGGAAAGTGTGCAAGTATCTATAAGAAATCTAATGGAATTCTTTGTTGTTCTTATTTGAAGATGAATTGTCTAAAACAATCTCATATATTTAACAACTTCATTAAAATTTTACCTTTAGTGATTGCTATAAAAAATAAGCATTTCAGCACAGCATTTACTCTTATTTGTTATCTTGTCCTACACTTAAGACACTATGTGATGCTGACTGTAAATGTTTATGTTGTTACGAGGTGGTTTCCAAATTGAAATACAGAAGTTACCGGTAATCCAGAACATTTTTTCATACAGAACTAAATTTTGAAGTCTGTAAATACAAATAGAATAGTTAACACATTATTTAGAAACACACAGTTTTGGGTTTACAATCACAAAATGCAGTACAATGGGTCAAATAAGTCGCCGCAGCAATAAAGAATAGACCCTGTCAGTGCATCCATTGAAATCTTCTAAAAAAAATGTACAGTTTTCCACTTTGGACTAGATATTTGTATGAATAATTCCAGTGAAACTAATGTCATACTGTTATTCTAAACCCAAATAGCTTATTTATTTATTTACTATCCAGTTACCTTTGAAGGGCATTCACGCATGGCTTATGAAATGTTTCATTCAGAAAGAAATATCACTACAGTAAGGAGACTTCATATTTGTAAGACCACAGAACTCTGCAGTAAGATTGTTTTTATGAAGATTTCAGATCAGCATCACTTAGCTTGCAGTACATAATATCTTTATATATGATACAAATTTGACTTAATTTAATGTAATGGTACATGATTATTTGAGAGGATTCTTTTTGATTCTGATAAAACCATGTCAAAATACGGAATACTCGATTTTGAAAACACTGTCTTAAGCACTAGCCATGGGTCAAGCTCAGATCACAGAATTATTCAAACTGTGTTTAAATTATGTTATAGTGACTTTTATTTTGAAGCTTTTGGCCAAGAGTTATGGTCAAGGTCCAAAGACTCTGAGTGCATATATCTTTGTTATGAGGCAGCTAGAGGCATAGAACTCTATTTCAAAGTTGTACTGCTGAAGGGATTGTGTTTTACCAAACTGGAAATCATGTCATTAAACCAGAGGTGTTTATAATTTTATTACTAAATCAGTAAGATGTGTGGGCAATGTGTCAATAAACTGGAAGGTCTTATTTCTTTGTCAGTTAGTAGCTAGAGAAATGGGACTAAGTTATGCCTCATTAAACAACATTAAAGATGGGATAGATATTGGTGAGGTCAGCATTCTTCAAATAGTTCATGCTTTATTTTTGAGGTGGCAGTGTTTTGGGAAAAGGTAGGAATGGGCCTACTTTTGTCAAAGAGCGTCCTGGTTGTTAATTACTTCTGAAAATAGTTACTTCCCCATCGAATTTGCCAAAAATCTGTGACAGTCAATAAAGATTATTTATGTCAAACATATTTTTAATATGCATCAGCTACTGCGTCAAACTGATGAGTGTTGTCATGGGCACTTCCATCCCACATGAAACTTCCTGCATCTTTGCATCAGTAGCAGGATACTTGGTTACATGAAGAAATACAATTCATACATGGGACACCACCTATCAAACATTGGAAAATTGTTGATGAAAAATATTTATTAGTTTGTTTAGCCTTATGACTAGAAAGTAACAAGCCCCAAAGACAATTGATCTAACAGGATTAGGTGGTCAGACTTGCTCACTTGATGCATGTCATGGCATTCCAATTGAATAGATCGATGCTCACAATGACAATCACTGGACTGTCTGGTCCCAGACTCAATTATTTACAGAGAGCCATTATATAGCTGGAATTATGCTGAATGTGGCATTAAACAACAAAAAACAAATAAACTTAAATATGTACTGAAATATTTCACCTTGAGTTACCATGTATGTTTCTGTAAGATTGTCAAAGTGTAACTTCATTATATCCCTAACATACCTGGCAAGTGTATGAAGTTATACATTCATCCAAGAAGTCTACACAATTTTACATTTCTTACTTCTATTCATAAACAGAGCCAAATACATTGACAATTTAATGTAATGTTTTCCACCTGTAGAGGCACTGTGTATTTTTAAAATGGAAACATGACTAATATTTGTTGTAAAACAGTATGAGAAGAAGAAACATCTTGGCTCACAGGGACCAAAGGCCCAAGTGAGCTTATAAATTATAGCATGTTTGTCATCCATCTGTTAACTTCTGTGAAACAGCAGAAGGGATGATCCTAAGACTTTTATAAGATATCTAGCATCACAATCTCACTGATATTTCTTAATGACATTATAAAAGTTGTATTTTAAGAAAATCAAAAAGAATTAACCTTGTGAAAATCTTTAATGGTCTTCTAAGAAACTGCAAGGTCTACAGTTCTTGCCAATTGAAATAGAATCACAAAATATCATGATGATTAATTGACGAAAATAGCAGCATGTGTACTAATATTATAAAAGTTAAAACAAGCCATTCCTCCAAAAGAGATATTACTTGTAGTAATGACAAAAATTGCAAAGTGTGCTTTTCAAGAAGTATCCATTTTGCTAGACATGAACATCATCATTGAGTTTTGATTACGCGATCACTATCTGGGTAAGTTTTGGCAGTCAGGTGCCTATGTTTAGGCTATATTTAGCTGTGTGTGCCACATACATGCAATAAAAGCTGATAGAGAAAAAGGTGTATTTATTGGCCAAGTTCACTGCTATATACAACCGCTCACAGTCACCCGACTGCCAATTCAGGGCTGTTGGTTGACGTATTTTGTGGAAAACAGTTCCCCAAACACAGTGTCAACCAGGCCGCATACCAAGGTGTAAACCTGTCCTGTGACTCGTTTTTGTATTGAACTGTACAAATGTAGATTGAACTCAAAGATGACAGGCAAGCAGTATAATTATGTTGAAATCCATAGCATGACATGACAGCTACAAATACGTTAAACAAATAAAATAGGTTCCTTAGTAGTTCCACATTGGAGAATATTCTACAGCCAGCCTAACTGGTCAATATTAAATTGTGCAAGATTACTTTCAGGACATTTAAACTTCATCTAGGATGCCAACTTACCTATCTGTAGACATGTATCTGTAAATCAGCCACCTGTATAAAGGTGGACGGTGGCTACACATGCTCGCAGATGAGCACTGTTGTGAAGGATTTCTGGTTTACTTTTCATCTGATGTTCATATTCATGAGCATGTGAATGATGGTTTATTTATTTAAATAATTAAGAAACATCTATTTTCATTAAGAAACATATATATAAATATATGTGTGTGTAGCATCTTCTACTAATCAAGACCTTGATTGTTGTGATGGACTCAGGGCAAACAACTCCCCTTGTTCAAGTATGCATTTACTAATAACATATGTGGAATATGCATGCCTTCAATCATGCCTTACATGAATAGCAAATGTGATTTTATTGAATCTAATTTGTATGGTTTTGCAAGCTACATGGCAACGCTCAAATGATCTGAAGGTTTTTCTGCTTGGTATATGAATAGCTTACATGCTTTTTCATTCTGTGATTACAATTATAATGTATGTGCTTGCTGCCATGCATCAGTTGATTCTAGAATGTGCACCATATGCATGCCCTTGTGAACAAGGTGATGCCTGGCAGTACACCGTAGTTTACTGACACATTAAAACACTCATTGCTTGGTGTGTGTGCAGCCATTGAATCAGTCAGAAATAGGAAACAAAGCATGTGAACTCTAGCACTGTACATAATTATGAATATGTAAGTTATCCAAGATTGACATGTTGAGCAGGTAAGTCAACATGAACACAAGGTAAGTTTGACAAGGTTATTACTCACATGCAGACACATGAAACGAGGAGGCTCGGTAAGACAAGCCTAGGTACCATTGGATATTCTGGGGATATTCACCCAAAAGAATAAGTGGACATGCTGCCTGTCCAGAAAACAATGTGTTATGAAATGGTTGATCGCTTAGGTTATTACAAAGTTGTTCATTGTTGACGTTATCATGCCTTAAGTCATCAACATTTTGAATGTCAAGGGAACATTAGTAAGTCAGTTGTGTTCACATCAGTAAAGATATCTGCTGATGACTATCACTTGGATATGAAACACTAAGAAGTGTTTTGTGTTAGAGGAATAGTAAGCATTTAAGCAATCTTTCACCTGAAAGCATAGCAAAACACTTTTGTGGGTAAGAAAAAGAAAATTTCAAGTTGTGTTTAGTTGAAGTTGGTATTTCATCGGGCAGCTAATTAGGCAGCTCCCTGTAAATGGGGCTGAATAGTGTGAGCAATTTGTCTGCTGCATTTGGTTTTCTCTACCATGTGCTCATAACAGATGTCTAATTTGTGTATAAAGGCCATTCTATCTTGAAATGAATTATAAATAATTTCTTTCAGAAAGTATTGTTACCATGGTTGTTTAACACCAACTAATGTAACCTGCAATTGGTAAAGATACTTAGCAAAACCTAGATGTATTGTATTGTACACACAGTATCTTGAGTAATTTATTGACTGTCTTAAATGTTTACATTTTGACATCTCCTGAACCGGTAGTTCAAATCAAGGTGGTACATGCAACAAGCAAATTCAGGTGAGCTACAGAGCCTTGTGACTCTACATTTTGCTCACCTGAACCAAAAGTTAACGTATGCTAATATCCTGTTGACTGGTATGTCTGTCTGTTTGGTATGAACAATTATATCTGCTCTGAAACCACCACTATGAAGCTGAAATATTGCTGTCATGATGCTAATGATAATGTGTCTTTATTCTGTTTAGAGAATTTTGATCTTGTTCACGATGGCAGCCTTATCGAAAATGATACTTTTGCCCATTGATTGAAGCTAACACTTTGCATGGAAGATCAATGAAATGGTGCATCTCCACTTTGCTCCCAGAATTCTGATCTAATGGTTAACATGGCAGTCACATTGTAAATTCTATTTGACTATAGTGAAACATGCAGTGAGGATGTTAAGAGTTTTTGTGATGTTTAATCTTGATATTTGTCCAAACTTTGGCCTTTATCATGCTGATGTCCTGTTGGGACTGCCATGTTGAAAATGTGTAAGTTAGCCTTCTGACAGACAAGGACAGATATAGCAATATGTTATTCAGTGAACATGCAGTTGTTATGTCTGTTATGTAGAAATGTGTCACTCTTTGGCTGTTCTTGATCACCCTTGTATGAGGACTGTTTCATTCTAATGCTGCAACTAATGCAGAAAAATAATCTTGTGAGGAAAAGATGTTTGCGGAAACTGACAGCCATTTTGGAATGTCCTGGAGACAAGCTGGAATTAATCAGCATAGCTCTGACATCATTGAAGCATGTAACATGTGGTTTGTTGTTGTCTGGTGTTACACTTGTTTTCTCATTTGATTTCCTTGAGACTGACATTCACCTACACCCTTGAATCTAGTGGTCCTATGTTTTACACTATACCCCAGATTAGACAGCTGTACTGTTATCTTTTGATCAGTTGTTCTTGCTTGAGTCTACATTATGTTGTTTTGTTTGTCGTTCAGCCTTGTAAGACAGTGTCTGACTCTCTGTTTTATATCTTATAGATGTGTCAGGATTGGAAAACCGTCACTATGTCGAGCAGAGCCAGGAAAAAGTAAATGCTGCACTCCTTGAATATTGCCTTAATTTCTACCCAGAAATGAAGGACAAATTTGGTCAAGTACTGTTGCGACTTCCTGAAATCCGTCTCATTAGTATTCAAGGAGAGGAGTTTCTCTACTACAAACACCTGAGTGGAGAAGTGCCTGACCAGACCTTGCTCCTGGAGATGCTGCACTCAAAGAAGAAATAGCAGCTGGTTGTGAGGAAACAGACAGCTATCATGTAGCATGTGTGTGTGATCAGTGCATCAGTCATCAGCTGAGAGACACTACAGCAAGCTATCTCTGTACATGACATGTAAATAAACTGGGAAGCTGGCAGACTGCCATCAACTCTTACGTAAACAGGGCAGATTGGAAGAAGAGCCATGGACATAGCAGCTTTTTGTTGACGCTTATATCATAGCCAGGAAAACTCACTGATGTATACAATAAGTAGTTCTACAAGTACGAGAGACTTTAACAGACGGGGCGAGTTGACAATCATTGTTGCCTCACTTATCAGGGTGTGCATACACCATGCAAGGTAGCTTGTACATATCTCAGACAAAATAGTGACGATGACTTAATGTACATCTCTCCATCACAGCAAATCTTGTAGTTATGTTTTGTTATCAGTCTTTCATTGAGAACTAGGTATTGAAGAGTGTTTCCCATTGTGGTGACGTTTCTGTGTTGTACAATCCTTGTAGTACAAGTAAAGACAGATTGTAGTGCTCCATTTATAGTGCTTACCTGGCTGTCTTCAATAATGAGTATGAATGTTTTAGTCATCTAGTCCCTCATGCTACCTTAACCAAAAACGCTATACTGCATTTTGTTTGAAAGCTGCATACAATTTGTTCAACTAAAACCACTGTGACCTGGAAAATTACCCAATATTTTACTCCAGAATCAGATCACAATTTATCTCCCAACAGGAGAGTTGTTTATTTTTGTCGAGTCGACCATTGCAAATAATGGTGATGTGAAGAATGCTTGATTGATGTTTGTCCGTTGCAGCATCTGCTGATATAGGTATATTGAGATCAGCACACAGTATTAGTTCAAGAAGTGTGGATGTTGAGATGAAACATATCAAAATACTCAAGTTATAACCAAATTCTGAAGCATGTAAGAGCACTTTTACTTTTAGGATACGCTAGTGATCAACCAGTAGTGGAGGGTGTGACCTTGCTACACCACATGTCATGTTTCAAAGATATATGCTTCTTATGCCCCTCAGGATATGGTTCAGGTTTGCTGAAACTGTAAGGGATTTCAAGTTTTCCATGCTGCTTTGTACCATACCCCATAGACGACATGGAACAGCAGTTTTTACCATGACCACTTGTGGCATGTGTGCTGCTTGCTGGCAGCAAGTGGAAGTCATACACCATACTAAACAAGGCAGCATCATTGACAGTGGACTATATTTAAGTTAGTTTCACACACTTCACATGTCCTTGTCTTGTCAACAGTGTGTCTTGGCTGAGAGGTTAAACTTTACTTCTGGTTACTTTTAGTACTTGTACCTCTTGTGTAGGGATCGATAGCTGTACACAGGATTACTACAGTCTTTGCATAGAAGGTCAAGCAGGAACCTCTCATATATCTATGTATAAGAAAGTATAGTTATACAGACATTTCAAGACAAACTTGTTTGTAGTTGGTGTTCTTGGTGTTTGTACTCTGAGGAATGACGTAGTTGTGCTATTTGTGAGCCATCAAGTAAAAGACTATTAATTGGTGTTGGAAGCGTAAAGACATCCCACATTTCCATCTCTCATCAGGAACCTACAAGTGCATTGTCCAACAAGTGCTCTTATTCGCATTTATTGTAACATGGGACTTTACAAACCCTGTCATCCAGTGCATGTGCCTGCTTAGGGGACAGATGTGGTAGTCTTTGGATATTGCTAGATGTATTTCACTTCCCATTGGAACAAAAGTATGTGTAGCAAGAAAAAACTTTTTATCTAATCTTATAAAGAAAACACACTGTAATACTTTCAAACAGAAATAGAGTAATCATGATCAGCACCTGTTGTCATAGTTTCATTAATAATCAGTACAACTTGAACATGGTGTCAACACAGGAGACATAAAAGGACAGATTAAATGAGAATTCAATAGATAAATATTTAAATCCTTGTTATTTAAGGGAGCTGGCCTTTGCTGAACAAATGTATGTTTTGTACATTCATTTCTTTTCACAAATGGCTGTACCCCTAATGGAGAGTAATGGGAAGACTTGCTCCATTCATGTGAATATGCTAACCACACTAGCTTTGTATATTTGTATTAAAGCAGGCTTTTGTATATATAGTGTGACAGCTTGTTGGCAACTTGTTGATGTATTGCTATACACAATGGCCTCAATGGTTATTTCCTGGTAATCACCAGCTTACAATGAATGTGATATCTTTATTGACATCAAGTTTTTAGAACAAAATATTTAATCTCTGTTATGTGAAAACGGCTTCAAAAGTACAGCCTGATTTTATATTCTTATGTTATTGTTATGTTATGGTGAGTGATTATAACATGTTAAAGAATTCCTGTATTTGGAAGACTGTAGCTAGAGTATGCTACTGAACTGTGGTAGAATGAGGAAATAATCATTGAGAATGGCCTACCTTGTCGCATGTCGATCTCTTTTACTCTGGCAGGAATTTCTACATCATTTCAGCATACGTGCTGTTGTATGGTGCATCAGATTTGAATATATATATATATATATATTATATATATATGGTCTTTGTAATCAAAATGTGAATATTGTATTTCCCTATGGCCATGCAACATGTCAGCATGGTATTCTGGTTAGCTGTTTCATGTTGGTGAGTGTTACATGTACAAACTTGTTGCATTGGGTGGCATTAGAGATGATGCTGTCACCTGGCTGGTGCCAGCTGCCGACTCCCACTGGCTGGGCATGTCACAGAGTATTTCCAGTCAGGGACATATCTTGCCAGTTGATCAGTACAAATACTAAAGCTAAAAGCTGAGAAGTGACATCCATCATAATGACATTCAGATGTTACCAGTTTACAGTAAGACTTAAATGGTTGCCTTCAGTGGCATCATCACAGCTTATGGTTAAGGTGTGACTGTCCAAGATTACTGTTTAAGTATTAAATACTATTTATAAAGTTACAAGTACTGAACTTTTTCTGTATGCATGGTAACATATAGATGGAAAGGTATAGCTTTCATTGTAAGTGGGGACACAGTGATGGATGGAACTGATAAAGGTGTAGAATGTGTCCCTAGATAGATGGAGTCATGGTTGCTGCCATCAGAATATGTCCGTTTTCTCATAGGGGTATGTCAGACAGGTGGTCATGTTTCTTTTAATCGAAAAGTTTTTCCCAATTTGATGTCTCAACTGCAAAATGGTCATAATGCTGGTATTAGAGCACGGACAAGCGCATTTTGCAGCAGACACTTGAAAACAGATATATAGACAGCATCAAGGCAGTTAGGATATAATGTCCCAGTTAATGTAGCATCTTATGGGGTAACATGGGCATTTGCTAGTTATGAGAATAGGATTATGATGTAAATACTGTAATCTCCGTCAGTCGCTCATGTTCTTTGTTGTCACATGGAAACTTGTGTATCACTTCTCAGCTTTAAATGTACTGTAATGAATTTGTGCTGACATGTGAAATTCCACGTGAACTGTGATAATGGAGATGTCGTGAAAAATAAACTGGCCAATCAAAGCTAATCAGTTGTTTGTTATTCACTCTAACACACACAAACTAAAACACACACACACTAACACACACACACACACTAACACACTAACACAATCTAAATAAAACATGTTATAGGTAATCATATTTTACTTGTCACAAAATTTACAAAAAATGGAAGTACACAATTATTCCATGGCTGAGGTTCATTTCCATTTCCAGGAAAGTTGGAATGGAGACATTGTGATTGGTCCAATGTGTTAAACATCTCATGGTAATCATTAACTTTTTAATAATACACAAGTCATTAATAAGTTTGGATCGACAGACATGTTGGTGTGAGTGACTGTAATCCAACCATCTATGACAGATGAACAGATCATCCAGTCCACCCACAAGATTCAGTAGATGATTCTGGCTTACACTTTATGGAATCATTGTTCTAGTTTCTATACTAAATGGTAATACATACTAGAAGGATATAGTCCAATATACCTTTCCTCCCCCTTTCTTATTGCATTTTAGTTGCTGGCTATCGTCTTTGTGTGCTATGTAAATTCCCTTGTTACAAGAAGTACATTTCAGGGTCCTCAGATTGCCTTTAGAGCTACAAATGATGTTATACACAGCAGCTGGTTTTTTGTAAGATTTGTAAGATTTCAAAGAGAGTCCTACGAATCTTGCTCAGAAGCGTTTTTTTGTCAGGGTTACAACATGTACGGTCTCAGTAAAGCTTTTAGAACGTTTCATGGCAGAGGTGAGGAGGACATTTCCAAATTTAAAGCATCAGTGACAAGAATCATGTCTGATGCTATTTCTTATTTTGATTTTTACCATATGTTCTCGTGATTTTACAGGTGAACAATTGACTTGTCTTTACATGTGTTTGTGAAGGGTGCCACTGTTGGGGCGGATTACGATCACCTGTTTGCTAACACCGAGTATAATCACTATCTGATAGTGGTTCAGAAACACAGTCATGATATACAAGTAATGTCAGAATTGTGCAGTCGACTCTGCTTTTGGACGAGATTACATTCGAATGTGGAAAGGTTTTTGACGCTTTTAATTTTTTAATCAGCACCATTTCAGTTTCATATTGCCATAGTTCTGCGAGTTCAGCCTCACAAATTCATCATCCAAAACTGGCTCCTACAGGAGATAGAAAGAGCATGCTCGACTGTATATCAAAAGTTCTGAAATGTAGACACCGAAGGCTGGAGTTTCTGGAATATTGCGCGACATAAAGGGAAAGCTGACTATTGGAAAGTTGAAGCAAGAGTCGTAACCTCTTTGAAAATCTTGATAGAAGGCCATGCTCGATTTGTATCTGAAAAGTTGAGATTGAAAAGTGAAATCCTTGCTCTACAAAAAAAGGACTGTTGGAAAGTTGAATTAATCCCTCTTGTCATACAGTTTTGTGGAGAGTTGTCATTGCATCTTAATGCATAGATCTAAATATGAAACAGATGGGGCGGTTTCTCAGGTCTCTTATATTTCTAGTTCAGGTGGGTAAATCAGTGTAAGGAAATATGCTATTGACTGTCATTGGACATATCTGATCATCGATGTACCTTAAGCTTACCAGAATACAATTCTTGGCCAAATTATCTGGTTCTGATCGTGCCAAGAAATTCTAATACATTTGCAAAAAGAAGCAGGTCAGCAAGCAGGGGAGTCCAATAAATTATTGGTGTCCATTGGGATGCCTATCTCGTGCCCAAATGTCTTGCCCCTATATTTTACATGGATGTTATCAATGAGGGAGTCCGGCACTTGCCATTTGACATTTGCTTAAACTTTTTACAAATTGTCCTGAACCTCTGAAGATAGATAAGTAACTGGAATCTAAGCTATCCGCGTTTAGTAACAAATGCATCATAGATCCAGGAAGGAAGTTTAATAATTGCGTGATATCAGTAACTATTTTCACCACTACTACAAGTAAACCCTTTATCATTCTACCAACTGAAACGTGCGAAACAATTAGATTATACAAACATTGTGTTAGGATCTATGAAGGCATTGAGTTCGATATGGAAATATAGAAGTACAAGTTAATTAATTTTATAATTGCATGTAGCCCACAATGGTTTGTCTGCCCATTGTCATCATTGTCAATAACTTCACTTGCACAGTTTAACTGAAGTGTTAATGGAGATAATACCGACATCCGTGGACACTTTTGTGTGAATGACGTGTAGTGTACTGCGATAGTGTGTGTACTGCGCAAAAAGATGGCGCTATCCTACGACAGTCTGGCAGATCTGGAAGTGAGGAGGTCGCCTGCCGCTGAAACTAAATCATGACGTCATACAAATGAGTGTAAACAGATACGGAAGTTGTTTGGTGTACTTTGTCAAGTACGACATATGTGTGATCGAGTACGGCGTATGTGTGATCGAGTACGGCGTATGTGTGATTGAGTACGGCGTATGTGTGATTGAGTATGGCGTATGTGTGAACGAGTAGGCGTATTTGTAATTGAGTACGGCGTATGTGTTTTCGAGTAGGCGTATTTGTGATTGAGTACGGCGTATGTGTGATCGAGTGAAGACTGAAATTATCATATTACCAGCGAAGGTAGTTTTGTATGGATTTCAATGGATGCCGACCATGGGTATAGATGGGAAGAAGACATGGTTCGTGAACCCTGAACAGTGAATAACATTAATAACATTAACTGCCAATCCACGTGACAGATGCCTAACAGCCAACATTAAAAATAATGTAAAAAAAAGGGGGCAGGTTTTGGGTACGTGGTGATATTTGCACACAAATCACGTAATGAATGATTTCATGTACTCCAGTCTTACATGTCCATGAAGGACATGGCACCAGTCTCGCCAATGTAAACTACGCTCTTCATCCCAAACCAGTCACTATTTTAACCTTGAAAATTCGTCTTTTGTCTCAATAAATAGAGGACTCCGGGGCATAATTTGCGTAATGGGTGTTTATGTTGTGGCCCGGACTTTCTTGAGGTGGTTAGGTACTTGTAGTAGCTGTAGTGGGGTTCCTGACGCTAGGCCTAACGTGCTGAGAACCACGGAGAAGTGACCACATCCAAGAGGGAGGGCTCATGTACTCTTTCCGATCTCTTCTGAAACACGTGGATGAACAATGAACCATACAGCCACACAAAGAATGTCATAATATAGAAATATAATGCACTTCAAATGCTTTATTCATCTTGTTAGTTCCAAAGACAGTTTCCACATACTTCAGTTTCTTGTATATGATGATGAGGTTGAAACTCCCGACCACGACGACAGCCACGACACAGATGGTGACGACAATGGCGATGACGGCGGTCCCATCATCATGTAGGTTTGGAGCATTTGTCACGTCATCTAATGGAGACTTTTGACTTTCACCCGGGGCAAAAGCGATGCCATGCGAAGGGTTGGTTTTAATCTCTGAAACAAGGAAGACATACGGCACCGTACTATAGTTTTCTGAGGAGAAAAGGGTGCGGGCAGCTCTCTCATCAGTGTAAGCATTAACAGCAGGGATATATACTCAAAACCATTCTAACTAACTTGGTTCTTCCCCCAAAATGGGCGTTAACTCGTACAATTGTCATGAACTTGGGCACATAGTTTACGTTTGTGTTAACAAAATGGGCATACTTGCGTACATGGAAACCAGAAAATAGATGACAATGACGTGTGTTTAAAGTAATACTCATTTAAAAAAAACTATGGCCGCACGAAACTTTTGCAGTTATCTTTCGACTGTATAACTTTACAATTCGTGTTTCATTACATAAGATTGGTTGTTTGTTTGTTGTTTAACGCCTCACTCAGCCATATTCCAGCTATATGACGGCGGTCTGTTAATAATCGAGTCTGGACCAGACAATCCAGTTATTGACATCATGAGCATCGATCCACGCAATTGGGATCGATGACATGCATCAACCAAGTCAGCGAGCCTGACCACCCGATCACGTTAGTCGCCTTTTACGGAAAGCAGGTGTTGCTGAAGACCTATTCTACCCCGGATCTTCACGGGTCCATTACATGAGTGAGTGAGTGAATGAGTGAATGAGTGAGTCTGGTTTTACGCCGCTTTTAGCAATATTCCAGCAATATCACGGCGGGGGACACCAGAAATGGGCTTCACACATTGTACCCATGTCGGGATTCGAACCCCCCCATTACATGAGAAACGACGGCGACTTTGATCGACTCTGATCGAGCAGCATGCTCAGCAACATTTTCTCCAGTCAGTGTGTTTTAGGACAAGACAAGCATCATGACGTCAAAGACTGGTGGGACATTTGCGGTGAAATAGCATGTCACCTTCATTTGTAAGGAAAGGTTTTGTAATATGTGAAATATCTTAGTTAATTGGTTGATATTTCCCATATTAAAAAAAAACCACAAGTGGTGAATTCTATCTATTATTTTCACATTACTGTTTCTCTTTTTCGAAATATAAGAATCAACATTAATTAGGACCAACCTACGTACATAATGCGTAGTGACATGTTTTCCCTTTCGCGTGAAACAAACGAAACAACCCGATAATCCTTTTGGGCATATGCCTTCGCCGAGAAAAGAATCCTTGAACTATGTAAAATATACAACGGGACCATAGGGCCTGTATCGCTCACCTGGATATTTACGCAATCATGACAAAATATACATTTGCATTGTACATGTATATAATACTGCAAATATTTCGTTATTTTGACTCAGCATTTAAAATAGGTGGATGGCAAATCTGACAACATGAACGTGTATTTCTCTTGATATAAATGTAGAATAAAGATCTGAACCGTTTCCATGTTCTGATCCAGGATCTAAGTTTCCAGAGGCAAGGCTAGACCCCAGGGCGAATCCTATTGGCATAAATGTATTATTCTCATCATAACAAACAAATTTATACAATGTATCTGTTTATTATAGGGTGGGGATAATTTGGGTTTGCATGTTATGGTCAAGGTTCTAACTCCTATGGGAGTGCCGGACAGATGAACAGAAGGGCCAGTCCTGGTAGCATATGTGCATTCCTCTCATTATACTTGGCCCCGCCCCTCAGCCCCTTGGGGGGTCAGTCCCACCACTTGTACAATTTTGAATCCTCACCACCGGAGAATGCTTCCAACCAAATATGGTTGATATTATTATCTGAGTTCCAGAGAGGAAGTTGTTTAAAGCAATAAAGCCAAATTACTCCTATTTGTCCCCGCCCCTCAGCCTCACAATTTGTACAATTTTGAATCCCCACCACTTAGGGATGCTTCCAGTCAAATTTCGTTAATTTCCAGTAAGAAGAAGAAGTCGTTTAAATTAAATGTTGACGTACGGACGACGGATGGACGACGGACGCCACAGTATGGCATAAGCTCACCTTGGTACTTCGGACCAGGTGAGCTAATAATTGAACGGAGTTTTGTAATATATTTGAAACGTAAAGCAGAATAACAACAACACGAATGTAACTCGGAAGAACTGGGGACAAAACACCTTTGTCTGTATCACTGTCACTTGCGATGACTTTTCTGCGTCTCTTGACTTGAGACGGGCTTGGAGGGTTAACGAGATTAATCGGTGCATTGCATCCAGTAATACTGCCAGTAAACATGGTGTAGATACCCCCAGAAACGACAATCGGAAACTGCTGACTGTGTTGTATACTGGCGAATTGAACATGACGGGTTTCAGAATCATCAACAAGTTGGGATGTCACGTTTTGGGATGAAGGAGATGTAGTCGAACACTGGCTCGTGTCAATTGTCTAGTGGGTCACACAGTTGGGCAAACCTTCGCACAAATTCCAAGAAACTGCATGTTCCCCAAAATGAGCGAAGCTCTGAACCAATATCTGGAGCCAAATTTTCAGCCTGTATTTTCTTTGGATATGGCAGGCATGAGGGGCGCTCGGTAAGTTTTGAAACTTGGGCATTTGTGTTTACAAAAACAATGTCAACTTGTGGCAGGTGTGACACTAGTCATAACATCAGGCTGACACGTGCCATAACAAGTTCCAGATACAACAATAAGTTAGATGTGATGGCTTCATTCACCTGAGGGTGGTCACAATCATGGATTCTCTCAAACATGAACAACTCGCTGTAATAAAGTTCATTACCAAGGAGGGATGCAAAGAAAAAGAAATCCATGATCGCATGTGTAAAGTGATGGGTGAGGATGCTCCTGACCATTCCACAGTTTGCCGTTGGTCTCTACAGTTTAAAAGGGGTAGGGAGTCCATAGACGATGACCCAAGGTCAGGCAGGCCTTCAGATGCCACCCAACCGGAAACCATTGCTGCTATAGAAAGAAGAATTTTCTCTGACCGACGAGTGAAAGTATCTGAACTTTCTAGGGAATTCCAAATATCAGTTGGAACTGGTGTAACCATTAATCATGAGCATCTAGGTATGTCCAAGGTATCTGCAAGATGGGTACCTAGAAACCTCAAAATCATGCATTGCGACAACAGACTTGAGCACAGGTGCATTGTCCTGGAGGAACAGAACACATGTGAGTTTTCCTCGATGTTCATCCTAGGTATTTTCACGCAGTTGCCTCAGCAAATCAGAATAATTTTGGTCACTAATGGTCTGACCTTTCGGGGTGTAGTTCACCTGTAGGAATCCTTCGGCGACGAAACTTTTAGCCTGTTTTTCATTCATGGTTACAAACCACCTCACAAAATCAGCTCGGTCTGCTTTTAAAGATGCGAGATGATGAACCTTGTTTACACACAGAGACACAGAGACACAGAGACACAGAGAATACCTTGTCACTTGGATGCCTGCACAAATATGCTGCCTTGGATGTATATGTGGTTCAAAATTCACCTCGCAAAGCATGGGGAATATTGTATGTAAGAAATGCAAACTGCCAAAGGTGTACTACACACCCTCAGAACTTTTCAGCCACCTTTCGTTGTTGATATAATGAATACTCGCAGTATTGGCCATGGTCCGTCATTTACCATTGGAATACAAACAAAGCATTAAACGCGACACGGGCATAAAACCGTTTAAGCAAACAACGCATAATTGAACATTTCTAAACTGGTTTACCGATGTAAACACGAAGGAGCAAGAGGTGGCAGCCTGTAGTCGCAACTTACAACTGAGAGCGTTTTTGTCCCCTTCACATTAAACACAAAGCATTATTCCAGCTATATGTCTGTAAATAGACGAGCCAGGATCAGACAATCCAGTGATTGATGTCATGAGCATCGATCTACACCATTGGGATACGATGCCATTCATCAACCATCCGATCCCCTTATGCCTCAGTCACATATACAACGGTCGCCGGAGGATGGGTTTCCCACATCTGTGACACATCGGTGCAGTAGTCATGAAACCAAAGATGACCGGCCGGTGGCTGGAGGGTGTCCGAAGGAATTTGGTAAAAATGGTAGGCTTATACCGTGAAGTGACTGACCGGTCATCAGGCGGGAATCGGCCGGTAATCTCCCGATACCCGGAATGTGCCCGTCCGATGTAAACCAAATCGTGCGGATGAACAAATCCGATGCGCGGATGAACACCGCCAGTTTCCTGATCGCTATAAAAGGAGCCCGCTCAGTGCCCGGTCGACCATAGTTCGTGTTCGCCGTCGACATTGCTGCAAGTTCTGTATCGCATTTCAGTTGATTTTGTAAATGTGTGTCACCGATCCATTACCGATGGGGTGTGGACCACCGGTGGACACATCGGAAGAAAATATCCCCGAGTTATTTTCTTCCGATGTGTCCACCGAGGTCTTCCCAATGTCAAAAACATGGCCAATGCTCACAGATGATCGTCCGGCGCCCCGTCGGGTATCTCTTAATTTTGCCGATTTTCAGCCTTTTCGGGCATCGTAAACTAATCTTTCCCGGCATCGCTGGATGTGTGACTGAAGCATAAGTCACCTAGAATAGTCGCCTTTCACGACAAGCATGGGATACTGAAGACCTAAATTCTAACCCGGATATTCACTGTTATTATGAATAAGCGAGTGAGTACTATGAAGATGGGCACACGTTCATTGCTTATCAATAGTAGACATGTAGGGGTATTATCAGTTTATAAGTAAATTCCAATTACACTTCACCAAACCAGGTGAGACATTGTGACCGCCGATCATCAAAAGCCGGCTCCGACGGTAATCGCGGAATCCCTATTCCGTCCCAGAATCTCCTCTGATATATGGAACCAAGTTTAATCGAAATAGCACAACCTACGTGTACACTGCCTGGTGTTCGTAGAGCCGCGGAAGTCTGTGCTTCGTCCAGGTGGACACTGGTGACAGATTCGCTGGCCGGCCTCGTTTTGATATGTGCCTGCGTCACATAGTAAACACCTCCCTCCTCTGAAGTGCGCTCCCATTGGACAAGCAACTGTTAAAGGTAAACACATTGTGACAATGTGTACATTGGTAAGGTGAACTGGTGTTTTTACGTTGCGTTCAAGATTTTTGCAGCTATCCAGCATTAACACAAAAGCTGATGAACAAATCAGCAGACTTTAACTGCCTTATTAGCAACTTGTGAAACATGTCTGCGCAAGTAGAGCCTTGCCTACCTATCACCAGACACAAGCGCTCATCACATGACACGGCAATCAGCCTATCCATTGAGACGTACTTGTCCGGACCAATGTTGGTTTTATAGTGCTAGCCCACTGTGATACCATGCCGGAGTGTTACATGGATACCGGTCTCAGTCACAGTGTACTGACTTACAGTCGAGCAGCCCTTGTTTTATCCCATTCCTCCCCAGCATGTGTACATTAAACTCTTATGAGACAATTATTTAGAAGACCTTTTCCATAGTTATCACTTTCTTTACTTTAACAACAAATGCATTTCCTACCACAAAAAGCATTCCGAGCGATGAATCCAGCAGGGCACGTGACATGTGATGTGATGGCCATGTCCTCCACGATGTAGTCGTCATCCACACAAAAGGCGGCGTAGTCCGTCTCCTTCAGCCGTGATGCTGTTGCTTCCAGGAACTTCACAGCTGACAGGACAGATGCTAATTGGGGACTGACTGGGAATGAAATTCGCACATGTAACCTCATCAATAACAAATTAATAACAATATTGCTTGTCCTCGAGTTCCATGTAAGTAGGATTATGAATCATTACGAATGGTTATAACTGTGTCTGTGCGTTATGTAATTACCTGTTTTATGAGTATGATAAGACTCCAGGTCAAGGTCACCTTCCTTCACGTCGACAGCTAAGACAACGGACAGGCTGATAGCCGTGTCATGTGATGAGCGCTTGTGTCTTGTGATAGGTAGGCAAGACTCTACTTTGGCAGTCATGTTGCACATGTTGCCAATAAGGCAGTTAAAGTCTGCTGATTTGTCCTTCAGTTTTTGTGACAAGATGTTCGCCTTTAAGCTGTCTATACATTTTGCAGATTTGTATCGTCCTTCGAATCTGAGTTCTAGTCGCTTGGGAGAATTTGCTCCTGGTGAAATAAATAAAGATCTGGATGACGGAACAATCCTATGTAAGATTGTCCATATATGTATTTTGAAAACATCATAGTTAATAAATAAATCTTCAACAACATACGTGTACATGGTATTATGTGGTTGCTTGGTCTCCAAATACCACCAGTGCAGTGATAGAGAGGTGGGTTCTCTAAGAACATGAGACCATCCCTGCATGACACGGAGCACGTCAGGTCATGTTGGTCTCCTACACAGGTAGGCCGTGTCCCGTAGCCTCGTACCAGGTCTGTTGCAAAACATGCTGAAACACACACAGCTGCCATTAAACATGCTGAAACACCCAGCTTCCATTGAACATGCTGAAACGCACACAGCTTCAATTAAACATGCTGAAACACACAGCTACAATTAAACATTCTGAAACGCACACAGCTTCAATTAAACATGCTGAAACACACAGAGCTACAATTAAACATGCTGAAACACACACAGCTGCCATCAAACATGCTGAAACACAAAGTTGCCATTAAACACACTGCAACGAACACAGAGCTACAAGCATTAAACATGCTGAAATGCACACACAGAGCAACCATTAAACATGCTGAAACACACAAAGTTGCCATTAAACATACTGAAACACACACAGCTACACACAGCTGCCATTAAACATGCTGGAACACACAACTTCCATTGAATACGCTGAAACGCACACAACTTCCATTAAACATGCTGAAACACACAGTTACACACAGCTTCCATTAAACATGCTGAAACACACACAGCTTACATTAAACATACTGAAACTCAGACAGCTTCCATTAAACATGCTGAAACTCACACAGCTTCCATTAACGATGCTGAAACACACACAGTTGCCAGTAACACGCTGAAACACACACAGTTGCCATTAAACATGCTGAAACACACACAGCTACCATTAAACATGCTGAAACATGCAGATGCCATTAGACATGCTGAATCTCACAGCGACCATTAACCATGCTGAAAACACACACAGCTTACATTAAACATGCTGAAACACACACAGCTTCCAATAAACATGCTGAAACACACAGCTTCCATTAACGATGCTGAAACACACACAGTTGCCATTAAACAGGCTGAAACACACACAGTTGCCATTAAACATGCTGAAACACACACAGCTACCCTTAAACATGCTGAAAAACACAGTTGCCATTAGACATGCTGAAACACACAGCTACCATCAACCATACTGAAAACATACACAGTTTCCATTAGACACACGCAGTGGTATAGGGAATGACAGTTCTAGACCACTTCCATTGGAGCTAGATTTACCCCCCTATACTGCTACAACAGAGGACATTTTTTTATGCAAAAACGCTGATGCGATTCAATGATCGTCATGACTCGTATTAAAAGAATCATCAATATTAATTGATAATGAATAAAATTTACTATAGGCCGCGAGGATATTGGAAAGGTATAGGATCAATACAAAAATTAGCCAATGCGGCTAAGGTATCTAATGATGTAGCCAAGGACTGGTTAAAGAAACAAGCAACATGGCAAATATATTTACCGGCTCCACGTTATATACCGAGGAAGAAGTTTGATATTTTTACAAAGAATGAAGTTCATCAGGCTGACCTCTTGTTTCTCCCCCATGATAAGGTAAGATGCAAAACATATAAATACGCTTTAACAATAGTAGACGTGGCTAGTCGATACAAAGAGGCTGCACCATTAACCTCAAAAGATTCAAAAGAAGTAGCTAATGCACCGAGCCGCATATATAAATGTGGATCACTAAAATTGCCCAAGCTATTTCAAGTTGATCCCGGTCACAAGTTTATGGGATCAGTAACTAAACTATTAACAAAATACCATGTCGCAATCAGGCATGGTGAAAAAGAGGCCCACCATAGTAAAGCTATTGTTAAAGGATTTAACCGGACATTAGCAGAACGTTTGGATATCAGTATGGGATTGAAATGAAATTGGAACGATTAAGATCAACATAATGGGTGACACAATTATCAGCTGTTGTATCAGCGCTAACTAATGATGTAACAAGATTAATCGGGAAGAAACCATCTGATGCAATTAAAATTAAATCTGTGACTTCCGAATCTTCAGCACTGCTGAGAGTAAGCGTAAGATATTAGAGAAAATAGAGACTGGCACACTATATCTGATGGGTATTGCAGCATATGCTCACTCAATGATTTGCAAATTTTAAGCCTTTTGGAGCTAGTCTATCACAAAATGAGTCAAATGGGGTGCTGATTTTAAGCAGTGGAGAAAAGGATATAATTCATCACAGGAACTTAGCAATAAATACACTTGGTTTTATAAGAAAAGAAGTATTACTCAACACAACAGTGCATGGAATTAGATGCCCTGATTTAGTTCCCTATAAAAGAGTTGTGCATCCGTCTTGATCAGATCAGTACAACGGATAATAGTCAACTTGAAAGTCCTTCAACTTTGCTACGAGCTATTCCAGTCAAAGATGAAAAATACAATAGTGGTAGAACGGAATCTTTCTCATCATTACAATATAAAAAGTTAAAGCAGGGTATTATTTCAGATCTCAAAATTTCTTCATTGATGTAAAACATCAACCTGTACATATAACATATTTGAGTGTTACACTCCATATTATAAATAATGGTTGATTCTTCAGGCCCTGGAATGCATAACCTCAGACAATGTAATACAATTGCGCTTTCCGATCTTGGAGACACAGAAGGATTTGATAAACCCCGTACAGATGGTAAGTTATATGCTTTACACTTACAAGATAATGTATACAAGCAGAAAGAACTTGTATTCACAGCATCTGCACCTAATCTCGGAGATGTAAATGATGTTATGTTAGTAGACTCAATAAAAACACGTCATACAATCTTACTCGCAATGATGATAATGAATGGACTATGTTCGAAGCAAAAATCGAGTGCCAACTGAATATCATCATTACCCCACCATACGTGACGATGGGTAAGGGTCATCATTTAACTAAGATAATGAATAGTGGGATCATACTCGGGGCTTATATCCCCTCAAAGCGAAAGAGTGTGTTAGTCGCTCCCCTGCCAGATGACCCAGGCCATATGTTATTGAGTCGTTCATCATTACAAAAAGGTTAGTTTAAATTTGGTTACTGAATTCAATGATTTATTGAATAACTTGAACGCTATACCTGATCTTTCTACACTTATTATTAAAGTCTTGTTTGGGGATGCGACAGAAGATGCCTTTGAGATATTACCAGGTCTATCAATTAAATGGCTTAAGAAACACCGACGTCAATGTTGCAGCATTATTTATATGGGAGCATCACTCGTTGCAACCCTTTAGGGGGTCCAAGTTAAAAAAAGTGAAAGCATTTCGCTTACTAAGATATATATGCCATATAATATACATTTAATAAGGCTGATGTATACTCTCAAGACATTTAAGCAAGACCAATTAAAACTCTTATATAATATAATAATAAACATTATGGGTTTATATCCGATGCTTGATGAAGCATCTGAAAAGATGGATACTGTTGATGGATTTCGTTTACAAGAAATAAGCGACATAAAACATCGAATAGAGAAGGAGAGGGAGTTGAGACTTGGATTAAGGAAAAAGTATCACAGAGCTGTGAATGCTCTTGGCGGAGATGACACTGCACTTGTAGCAGCTAGCATGGTGTAGCCGGTGTTGATTTGTCATCAACTATAATCGCCGCACCTATTGTACTTGCCATGGAAGTAGCAGCAGACTGGAGCGATAAAATTTATTTTTCATAAGTTACAAAAGAAAGCATTAAAACATGAAAGAATTTGTATTCTCGCTGAAACAAAGTTGAATAGCATTGAGGATCATATTTCAACTGGCTGATTGTAAGATATCCGAGGAGGAGTTTCGTTTTGTGTAGTCAGAACTAACCAAATACAACACAATGAAGCAGGAGATTCGTTCAAATTCTCGTAAGACCAGTGGTATTTGTGAAGATGAGAAAAAAAGTTCTTACAACAGTGAACAAGCACATAAATTATTCCGTGCAAAACCAAAGAACTGGTTGGAGATTAAGAATAGATTGTTTCCCGGATACATTGTTGGATCACATTTAGACGAATGCACACATAAGTCTATAATAATGGAGAATTACCACAGGGTATATATTCTATCAGGGAAGTCAAACCAACCAATTACGGTTATCAATTGTTTCTTTCCAATTTCGATGAAGGGTTTACAGTCTGGTCTCCTAGTAAAATGAATGAAGAAAAATGTTGAATATCACTTTGTTCGAAAAAATGGTATGCATATGAGTAGAAATATTGGGAATATTTTCATTACAATTTTGTTAAGTCTCATCGAATCACATCATCGTTTTTTGTATAAAAATTACCTCTGTGGTATCAATCTAGCTCCAGTGGAAGTGAGCTAATACTGTCATTGCCTATAAAAATTTATGTCGTGGTGGTGAGCTAGAGCCAATGTAACTTAGTCTCATGACACTCATTGAATCGCATCGTGGGTTTGGCTTACAAAATTCCCTCTGAAGCTCCAGTGGAAGTGGTCTAGAACTGTCATTCCCTATACTACTCACGCAGCTCACATTGAGCATGCTGAAACACCCACAGCTTCCATTAACCATGCTGAAACACACACAGCTACCATTAAACATGCTGAAACACACACAGCTTAAACACAGCTGGAGCTACTGTTAAACGTTGTAACACTGAAGATTGCATATTGGGAGTGAATCAGATGAACATTATACTACTCTAAATATCATGTCATGAACTTACCCGGGCATTCGTTAGTGTTGCACTCTTTTTTCTCAACAGACGAGCCATTGCATGGCTTTCCATTGTACGTAGGTGGAGGGCTGTTACATTCACGCATGCGTACTGTCCACCCTCCACCACACGAGGCCGAACACGTACTCCAATCAGTCCACAAATTCCAGCCACCATCTACGTCAACTGCAGAAGAGACCAATACACAGACGGATGCAATGTGTGTATTGATATACATTTGCTCAAGGATCAAAGTGAGTATTTATAGACATTTACACCTTGTTGTAACTTACTCATCTCAATCTGGCAGTAGCGGCCAGTGAAGGAAGGGGGACAAATGCACGTGTAGTTGGACACTTCGTTTACACAGGAGGCGCCCCCGTAACAGATGTTGTCCGCACAGAAGTCGGGCGCACCTGTGCAGTTGCTGCCGGTGAAGCCGTCATGACACAGACATTTGTAGCTGCCATGTCTATTGATGCACGTGTGGCCTGGACACGGTATGGGTTCACATTCATCGATTGCTGTTGAAAAAAGAAGCATAGAAGAATTGGCTTTAACAGTTTTACGTGAAAAGCTATAGATGTATTTCAGATATCGACAGTGACAGTGCTTTTAATAACAGGTGTGCGCAACTAGTACATAAGTGCCGAATCGAAACGGACTACAATTGTACTTGATTTAAAAAAATCGACGCTATATAACTTCAGTTGTATGCGTGGTATCTGAAGACAACTAGAGAAAAGTTCACGTGGAGGGATGAGCCAACGTTGTTGTAGTAGCTGTGTACTAAGACTGATGTAGTTCCTGTCTGGCACTGACCATCACATGTTGAAGGTGTGATGACAAGGATACTGCTGCTGGTTGTCTTGGGGATGTCGTCCAGGGAGAAGAGCGCCCTCTCAGTGGGATGATCACAGGTAAGGGCCATTGCTCTGATCTGATGAGCATCACGTCGTGAACTGAGAAGGAAAAGACCCTGGAGAAGCACCTCTACAACAGAGATAGTTCAGCACTTAGATACAAGTTCAAGGTGTTTAGAAATCATAATGTGTATCATGATTTCTTCATTGTACGCCTCCCTCTAGTTATCCTGATACAATGTACATACAGAGACATAAGATAGTGACACAACTACTTACCACTGTGCATGCCTGTGCTGACACGCAGGCTTGCTCCAGCAGTGACGAGTGGAGAGGATGCTGCTGCGAAGGTTCGGGTGACGACGGGTTCCCCTCCAACGTAGACTGACAACTCCTTTCTCCATTCATGCCATGATAACTCTACGTGTGTCCATGTCTCAACAGGGAACATTATTGTCGAAGATATGTTGCCATTACTACAATGTAAAACGCACTTAGCATGTGTTACAAACCACCTGCAGTTGATGTTTCAGTTTCCAGAGAATAAAAGTGAATGAGTGAATGTTTTTCTGAGGTCAAACTCAGCAATATTAAAGCTTTGTCATGGCGGAATGTGAAAATCGGGTGTGGACTTAGGTAGTCAATGACTGAAAGTATGAGCGTCATGTCACAGAGCCTGGCCACATGATCCCCACTTAAATCACAAGCTTAGGGTACCGTGTACCTTCTTTCACTCGGAATTCCAACTGGAGAAGATAATGTTCATCAAAGCGCAGGTAATAGCGAAATAAGCCTTTCGGGCTTTCGCCCTAATGGATTATTATTATAAACACAAAACTATTCCCTTGCCTTGCATGCCGAGTCCAAGAAGTGGGCGCGAGGTCCAAGCTGACCAGAGTTCCCCGGTGCGGATGTGTGATAGATATGGCGGTGTTGGTCGCCCCTGCTGCGTTTGTCTTGATCCATGTAGCCATGGTAAAGTCGCCAAGGTCGTCGGTCAGGGCGTTCCTCATGTTGAAGGAGATCGGACCAACAACAAGCACGTCATAAGCTGTGTAGAGCGATGAGTCCATCATTACACACAACTCTGAATCAGTGTAATACAGAGAGGTCAGCCCATCAGTACACCAAACACTCAATCAGTGTAATACAGAGAGATCAGTCTATCACTACTCCCAACTCTCAATCAGTGTAATACAAAGAGGTCAGTCTACCACTGCTCCCAACTCTCAATCAGTGCAATACAGAGAGGTCAGTTCATCACTACACACAACTCACAATCAGTGTAATACAAAGAGATCGGTCCATCACTACACCCAACTCACAATCAGTGTAATACAGAGAGGTCAGACCATCACTAATCCCAACTCTCAATCAGTGTAATACAGAGAGGTCAGTCCATCACTACACCCAACTCACAATCAGTGTAATACAGAGAGGTCAGTCCATCACTACTCCCAACTCTCAATCAGTGTAAAACAGAGAGGTCAGTCCATCACTACTCCCAACTCTCAATCAGTGTAAAACAGAGAGGTCAGACCATCACTAATCCCAACTCTCAATCAGTGTAATACAGAGAGGTCAGACCATCACTAATCCCAACTCACAATCAGTGTAATAGAGAGAGGCCAGTGCACAGCATAGGTACATGTAATCAGGCCTAACTTTCACCTGTAACATAGGTACAAGTAATTTGTGGATGTGAGGAACACACTTCTTGAGTCTCAAGGGGTTTTTCGGGCTTGTCATAATTATAACCAGTGGTATAACATTAGGCGTAGATCTTTGGAATTGATGTCATCTCGGTCCCAGCACGGTCTAGACGCCAGGCCTAAAAAATGCCCACATCATGCAGATACACAGCTGAAGGATGGTTGTGGTCTTGTTCAATCTTCAACAGCCGATCATATACGGTCTGGAGAGTTCCCTGGCAGTGAGATTCCGTGCACCGCAAGTATGATCTCTCTTCTTTCTGTCCTTTGACGCCATTGTAAACGTGACTTCCGCGCGCATGATTAATGAAAGACACTGCTATAACATCGTTCGCTTTCTCGAAAACACTAACATAAATTCTATGTATACTGAACAACAAAAGTTCCTGTGACATTAAATAAGATTTAATGCAAAGTTATGTTTTTTACCAAATCTGAAACAATTTCGGTTTGCAACAGATAAAAGACTCCTGTAAGTGTTCAAATGGTTTAATTTGCCATACTGACTTCAGTAAATGCGTGATTTCATAAAAAAAATGAACATGCCAAAATGTCAATTTACAAATCAATAGCGTGTGTGTCCACCTCTGGTTGCAAGCAACACATCTTCGTCTCATGGAATGGACCAGACGTTGCACAAAGTCCTGTGGGATATCTGTCCATATCTGCTGGAGCATGTTTCGAAGTTCCTGGAGTGTCTGTGGAACACGTGGTTGACGTCAAAGGCGCCGATCTATCTCATCCCACATGTGCTCGATTGGTGAGAGATCAGGGGAGCGAGTCGGCCAGGGGATGACATTCACATAGTTTTGTTGAAGAGAATCCTGAACAAGTCGAGCAATATGAGGCCGTGCGTTGTCATGTTGAAAGTAATGAATGGGCCATGACGACGCAAAAACGGTAGAACAACAGGGCCGATGATCTCGTCGCGGTTGCGCTGTCCATTGATATTTCCCTCTACCACTATCAAACGGGTCCTCTGTCTTGCTGTTATCCCACCCAATATCATAACGCTGCCGCCCCCGAACCGATCTTCTTCCATGACACAATGATTGACGTAACGTTCACCTCGACGTCGGTACACGCGAATCCGTCCATCGCTGTGGCAGAGGTTAAATCGATACTCGTCATTGAATAGAACTTGTCCCCACTGCATGGCCGTCCAGCGTAGACGCTGTCTGCACCACTATAGACGTGCTTGACGGTGGTTTCCTGTCAAAATGAGACGTCTGGTGGGTCTTCTGGCGACAATCCCTGCAAGTCTGAGGCGGCGACGTACGGTTTGTGAAGATATTCGTCGAAGGCCAGGGATGGTTCTTGCAGTCACTGTTGCTGGCTGGAATCGATTTCGTAGGTTTCGTATTGTTCGAATCCAGTTGTCTTGTCGATTATTGGTTACGCGTGTCCTGCCACTCCGAGGATGGTCTCTGACTGCATTCGTCTATTGCCAACGTTGCCATAAACACCAAATGGTGTTTCTGTGGACGTTAGATTGTCTTGCAACATCACGTTGACTCGATCCTGCTTCAAGCATACCAATGGTTCGCAGACGTACATATTCGGACAGGCATGGTACTTCGTAATGTTTAATAACTGCGTAATTCTGTTGTTTTTCTGAGTTGTTATTGTCAGCACGATGCTAAACAATGCATATGGAATCCCTTTAACGCACATGTTTTCATACCCATTCGTGGGTAGTGAAATGCATGGGGCTTGCATGAAAGTCAACTTTTGCATGGAATGCATGCTTTTATGTAGCAGTTGCGTTTTTGTGACTTGATTCCATACATGTACTACAATATTGAAAACCAAACTTTTTTTGTTTGAAAAATACACTAAAATATTGGTGTCACAGGAACTTGTGTTGTTGAGTATATTTATATATTTCTGTTTCCTGCTGAGAAATGAAGCGCATCTCTCCTACCTTTTCTCAAGTATTGTTAGTACACTATTAATCCTTTGTTTGATATTAATCTCTTCCATATCACACTTGTAGAGCTTTCTCTTCAATTTAAAATAGTGGTCCATCATTAACATGTGGTAGGTTGTGTTGTTTTAAGAATTACACGTCAGAAGAGTAAAATGAGAGTAGCTGTACTCCGTGTAACTACTTGACCTGTCCCAGTGATGACATATATTAGTTGATCTGGAATCTAGGAGAAGTAGCTGATCTGGACTCTAGGAGAATTAGGTGATCTGGACTCTAGGAGAATTAGGTGATCTGGACTCTAGGAGAGTTAAGTGATCTGGACTCTAGGAGAAGTAGGTGATCTGGACTCTAGGAGAAGTAGGTGATCTGGACTCTAGGGGAATTAGGTGATCTGGACTCTAGGAGAATTAGGTGATCTGGACTCTAGGAGAATTAGGTGATCTGGACTCTAGGAGAAGTAGGTGATCTGGACTCTAGAAGAATTAGGTGATCTGGACTGTAATTAGGCCCCTGGTATAAAACATAACGAGGGATGGATAAAGCCAAAACATATATACAGCCTATTCATATAATAAATACACAGTAAAAAAAGGGTTGCACCCCCACATTAATACGTTTGATACATCACAACATTTAAAACGCCCGACTCTGGTTTTAATGGTAGGTATTCCTTGGGGATCTGATGTTAAATGTGTAATGTTTTCGGAGGGAAGATGATCACCAAAACGTAGCAATCAGCACGTGAATTGCATGGTGCATGACATTTGCAGATTGCAGTATCTTCTTAAGCTCAACATCGCCTATAAAAGATGTTCTCTGACAGCCCAGTTTATTGTAACCCACAATGCCGGGTAGACGATTGTCAGAAGCAGTCAAGTGGCAGATTATTGGCCTTCATGGAGCAGGTCTTTCGTTCAAGGAGATTGGCAGAAGAACCGGACATCACTACTCAACAATAAGCCGTTTGGTCAGAAAACACGCACAAACTAATGATGTAAGGAATCGCAGACCCTCTGGCAGACCACGTAAGACCACAGTTAGAGATGACAGAGCGTTGTTGAGGGTGGTAAGGCGTCATCCATTTGCTACAAGCACAACCTTGAAACGTCTTTGGCTTCCTCGTCAACAGTTCAGTACCCAGACCGTGAGAAATCGTCTTAAAGCTGCAGGGTTGAAGTCCAGAAGGGTTATCAAGCGACCTAAACTCACAGACAACCACAAACGACTACGTCTAGCCTGGTGTAGACTGAGACAGAACTGGAACTTGAGGTCCTGGAGAAGAGTCCACTGGTCGGACGAAAGCAGGTTCCTTCTGCATGTTGTGGATGGCAGAGTGAGAGTATGGAGGCGTCCTGGAACAGCTTATACTGCAAGAAACATCATGCCAACTGTACCATATGGAGGTGGATCTGTTATAGTCTGGGGATGCTTCTCATTTGATTGTAAGCTTGATTTAGTGACCATACGAGGCAACTTGACAGGGGAGCGCTACATCCAAGAGGTGCTGAATCCAGTTGTGGTGCCCCATTTTGACAATCATCCACTGGCCACCAGACCGATATTCATGGATGACAATGCCAGACCACATCGTTCACGAGCTGTGACCCAGGTTATCCACAACAATGCTCTGACGCAGATTCCATGGCCAGCAATGAGTCCAGATCTGAATCCTCTGGAACATGTATGGGACATTTTGGGACGCCTGATTTATCGTCGGGACCCTCCTCCACAGAACTTGCGTGAATTGGAAGCAGCATTACACGAGGAGTGGCAGCAGCTGCCCATGGAGCGATTCCAACGTCTGGTGAGGAGTATGAGACGAAGACTTCAAGCTGTGATCCAAGTGCTTGGTGGAAGTTCTCGATATTGACTTACTGTGTTCGTCAAATCTCCATATGACATTCTTACCCTATTGGATGAATTTGGTCACTAAAAATTATTGAGATGTCACCATACTTAATGCGTCTTCGTTGTTCGTTCATTTTTCGTAAAAGTTCAGCATGAGATTCTTACATGCCATAAGGTCATGGAATACCCCATTTAAGTTCATTGTATAGACAATACACTGGTTTGTTGGTATACACGAAATCCTGGTTATAATATTAATTCGGTTATCTTTACACCCTTTCAAAACACCCCTCCATGAAAAAAAATAGGGGGTGCAACACTTTTTTTACTGTGTATATATTCCCATTCAGCAAACTGGCCAGCCCAGTTGCGCGCAAATGAGATCGGTAGATGGCCATACCAAATTAAAACCAAGTATCCACAAAAACCCATGCCCATGCTCAGTTAGAGTGAAAGTTGAAGTAGCCATGTCATGCCTCAGACTCAGTGACAAGAAGCACTGTGACAAGGTATGCCCATCTTGCAATCAACCTGACTCCATTGCTCACTTGTTACTGGAATGTCAAGACCACGTCCCGACCAAGAGATGCAACAGCGAGGGCAAAGCTAACTCTATTTCTACATGGACTCGAACGTTTATAAATTGAGCAGCTGAAAATTGCTGAGGCAGAAGGCGACCTCTTAAACACTTAAAGCAACAATAACAACAACAATATCATCATCAGTATCATCAAACCACATATACCCCGAGTATATATTGCTACAAGGGATTTAGCTTGCAGACATGTTTCAATCTGCCTTTGTAAAAGAATTAATACGAATTGAAAACAATGTTCGATTGAACTGAGGTCAACTTATGCTGTTTCACGTGATTCTCATTGACTCGTAACAGCGTGCAGCGTTTTGCTTCGCAGCGGTGTGCAATCAATGTATTATGTTCGCTTGGTGACAATGGTACAATGTCCATTCACAATGTTCACAATGATGAGTTATAAATGACGTACCCGTGCAGGCTGAGACGTTGTTGTTGTGTGTTGATTGCGTTGTGGTGCCGGGAGGGCAGGGACGACACGACGCTGCTCCGTGGTGAGGCTGGTAGAAGCCGTGCGGGCAGGGCGAGCAGGGCAGGCTGCGTGTCGGGGAAAACATGCCGGGGCCACACAGCTCTGTCCAGTGACAAACTATTCTGAATCTTTCTCTGAGATTAGTTTAAATCTTCTAACATTTTTGACCACTATGATTAAAAGGAGATATTTATTTTCCTTAAACTGGCTGACCGTGATATAGTTCGCAATAACGCCTCCTTTTTACATAATTGACCACCACCAAATACTTTAAACCTTAAAAAGATGTAGGGCCGATTATGTTTATATATTTACACCCGTCACGATAAATATAAACACGAATTTATATACAGTAACATACACAAACATTAACATAAGTCGTTTATGAATATGGAATCGACATCGATAAGGAACGGAATGTCATGTCCCTTGTACATGTTCGCGATGCATCGCAACGACTTAAACATGACACCCTAAATGAAGACAAATATAATATTTACTACTGAAGCTTCATATTCCTAAAGATAATAATAACAATCTAGAATAGTTATTCTATTACTTTGACAACTTATATCAAGATGCAGGACTATTTCGGTAAAAAGCACCTGCGCATTCCGCGATGTCCTTAGCCCCTGTTGTGAGCGAGCTTGTTCTAGCTGGACATGTCTTGCACGAGAACGCCCCGTCCTTGTCCTGGTACATCCCCAGCGGGCAGGGGGCGCAGTCGCTGATGTTGTTGTAGTACGTCCCGGTAGGGCATGCCGCTGAAACAAACATAATAGGTCATGCTGCAGCATGTGCTGACAAGTCCCAGTATTCTGTATGTTCTTTAATCTGTACAAGGACACTGGGATTACATTGCATTGTATGCACTATATAACACATCTTCCCGAGGCAAGGGAGTTAACTGACTTTGAAAGTCCAGTTTCCACCCTAGCCGAACTAGGCTTGAATTACTGGGCTTGATCGTTGCGCCACCAGTGGCTGTTACCAATTATGTCCCTTCTAAGCCTCTCCAATTGACTAATCAGATTCCACCTCTCATATCACTTGCGTTTGCTTCACACAAAATGGTGGCGCTCAGTCAGGACGATCTGATCGATAATCAAGATCTATATTGTGATAAAACGGGTCTTACATCGCGAAATGCATCACATCACGTAAGCACCTTGATTAAAAACATGAAAAGATTTGGAAAATATCTGCTGACAACGAGTTGGCGGTGCACATGCTTTGCAAATCCTGCAATCGATCGAAATCTGCACGACAGTTTACGAACCGGATTTCGATTTCGTTGCGCGATTTTGATTGGACTATGCATAAACTCGTTTGTCCAGCCAAAATGTAACTCCATAATACCAGCCTAGTTTGGCAAGGGTGGAAACTGGACTTTTATAGTCAGTTTACTCTCTTGCCTCGGGAAGATGTATATAACAAGCATTCTCACCACATGACGCTGAAGCATACACGGGAACCAAGCCTTTGCCGCAGTAGAAGTCACTCCAGCCAGAGGCGAACGAATCATGTCGAAGCTGGAATCCAGTGATGTTGATGTCGTACAAACCTTGCTGCACGTCAATCTTGGTCCTGGACGCCATGCCCTTCAGCATATCCTTATGTTTGTTAATGGCGTCCTCCACAGTCATATTACCCATCTCGAAGTCCACCATGAAGTCCCACGTGACCAGGGCCGCCAGGGTCGGCGCCCGCTTTCTCCGACTGGACATAGCCGCATGACGACGGCGGCGGAGCATGTCCCCACACTCTACTTGCACGTTTTCTACTTTACAGTTTTTATCTTTTGCACATGCATCTTTCCACGAGCCAGAACCTTTTAGGGACATGATGAATTGGGTTTTGACGAGTTCCACAGTAGAGGTCGAGCCACAGTTCCCGGTGTAGTAGTACAGCTCCGACGGCAGCAGCATACTTTTTGGACGGCGTAACTCTGAAAAACGAAAGGTGAGCAAGGACAACACGTACATGCCTTCAGATAAGTATAAGTCTTGCACTACTATGCACGGGGTAGAAATATTCCAACATCTACTTTCTGGAATGGCCTTCAAAATACAGTGTTTATGGATTTGCTTTATACGAGGGCTGATTGATGAATCCTGAGCCTCACATAAAAGGGTTCGCCTTATAGAGAAATCCTACACACAACCTGGAGTCAGTTGAGCAAATTGTTTCGCTGAGACAAGTCAGTAGAATAAGCAGGGGTCTACGAACTTTAAAAATAGACAAACCTGAGGGACGAGCAGTACTTGCAGAAAAAAAGGCTTAACATCAAAAGCCATCCATAAAGTTTAAGATGGCAGGGAGATCCTTGAGAACGACCCTCGTCCTGGAAGGCCTGTGACATCAGCAACACCAGATATGATCCAGAGAAACCATAACATGGCTCATGACAGCGTCATATTGATAGTCCCGTGGGCACTGGGAGTTCAGTTGTCATTGGGAGTTCAGTAGGTATTGTTAAAAAGCATTGTTTAAAGCTGAGCCAGACAGTTTCTTGCACCGATTTGTGACTTTGAATAAAACCTGTTTCACCACGTCCATACTTAGTCCAAACAACATCAAAACACTGGAAGCATTTAACATCGCCACCAGCAAAAAAGGCAGGAGGAAAGGTTATGACTCCCGTGTTCGGGATACCAAGAGTATCATCGTGGCGGACAAAAAGGCCAGACAATAAAGGGAGCATATTTTGCTGCCCTTCCATTATGCACCCAGACACACACACACACACACACACACACACACACACACACACACACACACACACACACACATACACACAGAGACATACACACACAGACATACACACACAGACTCACACACAGACACACACACACACAGACACACACACACACAGAGACACACACACAGACTCACACACACGGACACACACAGACTTACACACACAGACACACACACAGACAGACAGACAGACACACACAGAGACACAGACTCACACACACAGACTTACACACACACACACACAGACAGACACAGACACACACAGCCAGACACACAGACACACACACAGACAGACACACACACAGACACACACACACACAGACATAGTTGGTAGAAGTGCATCAGCGACGAAGGGAATTATTTTAATATCGCCAGGACAAGTCTTTCTATGTGAGGCTCAGTGCTTAGTAGTCACCCCTCGTATAAAGTCAAATCCAATTCATCTGGGCACATTATGAAGCCTTCTTTCCAGAGGCCTTGAGTACATTCCTCTCACATTCCATTTCTCTTGTGCCCTTACCAACAATACTAGAATATTTCTAGAAACGAAGGGGAATAATATAGAATGAGACATCATTGAAGTTAACTAAATAAGATAAGTCTGTTCACACAAGGTATGCAGACTTTTATTTGCCTCTAAGTCGGAGAAGAAAACCACCGTCTTTGATATGCTACATTGACTGTGTGGTATGAAATCATTCGCAAACGGATTCATTCGTTATCTGCACTCAGCAATCGATGTATGTTTCTCTGACTACTTAAAAAACCACAGTCCACAGAAATCATTATAAAGCACTACGCATTTTCAGTGTGATACCATTAGGTACTTTCAGTTTGGTCAAATGCATACTTGCTTCAGCCTCATGACAGTTTCAAGTACCCGAGTACAGCTTCAGCTAACACAATGAGAAACCTGAAAGGTATTTCCGCTGTATTGACTTCACTTACAAGACATGTACCAAGTTTAATTAATCTACAGTTAATCCTTCTCGAGTTATGTGGTAAACACATCCCTTACATAATATAACAATATGTGAAAACAATTTCCCAGCTTTAAAGTAGATCTATATAGTAAGTGAGTGAGTTGGGTTTAACGCCGCTTTTAACAATATTCCAGTTATATCACGGTGTGTCAGCTTAATGTGGGAGGAAAGCCCGAAATGATTCAGGTACAACTTCAGTGAAACCCAAGAGCACGGGTATGGTGCTGACAAACCTAGAAACATAATCGGGGCGAATCCGGGATTCGAACCCACAATCATAGGTTTCTGCACAGCGAGTTGCGGCGCCTTAGACGACTGGGCCATCCGTGCCCCCTCGATCTATATATGTGACATGTCACATGTGACATGTGATATCCCTGAGATGTCCAAGCACCAAGTGGTTAAGAAAGGCGGAGGCAGTCATATACAGACAAGTTATCGGTGAGTTATACACCTGCCTGAGATAAATGTGCATAAAATATTCGTTTTTATGTGTTACTGAATCATACTTAACACACATCTCAACCAGTTGCAACACAAAAATATAAAGAGAATATCTGTGAAACCTGTGCAGTCCGGCACAGTAGCTGCTGGCTTCCACTGGCCTGTCGAGAAGGCACAGACGAAATGTTGAGAGATGGCCACCGTCCGCGGGACATCGTACTTCTCATTGCATTGCATCTGACATAGGGTCCCCCCGGCCCACCGGTCACACACAACAGCACCATTCCGCGGCGGGCTCAAGTCTCCGCACGGTCTCTCTACAAAGAGGAATAATAGGAACTTCATAGTAGTGAGTGAGTATGGTTGTACGCCGCTTCTCGCAATATTCCAGCAATATCACGCCGGGACACCAGAAATGGGCTTCACACATTGTACACATGTCGGTTATCGAACCCGGGTCTTCGGAGTGACAGCGAACGCTTTAAGCACTAGGCTACCCAACCGCCCTTACCCCATAGTACAATTTACTCAATACTCAATACATATACAATGTATAAGGCAGAAATAGTTTGATGTGTTTATTTACACAAATTGTAACTAGATGTTTTGTGTTTGATGAAGGGAGTAAAAACCTGATTTGTGGAAATATGTAGATGCACTACGATAATCGTTAAGATAGCGGTTGTACTGACCTCTACATACAGGTGTCGGTGCTGTCCCCAAGTGCCAATATGCAGTGGGTGAGATGCTGTTGTCTATTTCACATGTTATCGAGGTAGCCCCTTCTAGAGGCAAGCCCATTCTGCAGGAGATGTTACAAAGGGCACCGTAATTAAACCCCGATGGGCAATCGGCCTCCATGTAGCGATCCTTGAAGCTGGGCACTGAACATTTGGGTACTGAAATATAGGGCGTTTGTTCTGAAGTTAATTGTACGCAAAGATTGCCCTGACGTTCTCAGCTAACCTTTGCATCAACCTGAGGTAATTGTTGGTTATTAAACGGCAATGTCTACCGCATGCTTATCATTTCCCGGCTAGATTTAGTGTATGGAGCGTGGAGTGCGGTTGTGATGTCAATAGTGTACGCAGGTACTGCTAGGTGGATCTATCCATTCACGTCGAGTGCGTGAACAAGAACACGTGTTGTTTGAAACTTAAGGACTTTATACAACTTGCTAATCTAGTTTTGTCTTTTTCAATAAATCCCCATATAAATTACCTAATAGGATAAATTATAAGCCAATACAATACAGCGAAATAAGGAGTACACATATTTGTGATACCTAGACTACGCTAACAACAAGTGTGAATTCTTTCTGACTGTCCACTCGGTGGTGTCATTAGGGGATGCTGTCAAACCCGTGTTATTGTCCACCTCCCAATGAACTGTTATACGAGTATATTTGTCTATTCAAACAGCTAGAAGTTGTATGCCAAACCTTCAACGATGATGGTGAAGGAACAGGGCTGTGCTGTATTGCCGCTACCGTCAACCGCCGTGTACCTAACCTCGGTCACTCCCTGCGTAAACCTTGACCCTGGAGCAAGACCTTTGCTCTGCTGGACATTGCTGTAGCCAGAGTTGTCCTTGGCCACAATGTCCGGCCACGTCACCAGAGCGGTGGTCGTTCCCTTCTCAGCCTGAATCACAATGCTCGTGTCTGGGCAGTTCTCAAATGTTGGAGGAAGAAGATCTTCAATACATAAATTGAATACATGTTCAGTAAAAGAAAGATGGACACAGCAATTTTGGTTTTTACAGTATCCATGCGACATGTTATAGGTGCAAGTGTTTTTGGTGCACAGGCGTGGATAGCAAAATTATAGATTTACACTTCACTGTCCAAGGTAACATCACGTATGTCATGGCGTGTTGATTAAAGGGACATCAGGACCAACTCTCTCACTCACGAGTTTAGGGATACAACCATTGCCCATAAAGCGCAGATCTCATACAGGAGGACATGCTTGTGGCAGCCCACTGTAAGGCTACACATCAAAACGAATGAAGCTGTCGTATTCAGCTGCCATTACTTGGCCCATCATTGGGAAAGTTTTCAACCCAAAGTATAATTTTAAGGAGAAACAAACCATGAAAATAGATGCATGCAGGTGCGGTGTAAATCTTACATAGGACGTATAGTACTGACCAACACATCGCGGCTGTGGCACTGTCCACGCACCAGTGGACAGACACGAGGTGATGCCAGGGGGCGATGCCTGGAAGCCGAGGACGCTGCTGCAGACGAGGACACAGACGCTACCAGAGTAAAGGCTGTTTGTGCACTGGTGCCCTACACCGTGTTGGGGCAGCTGCAATCCCGGACACGTCCTGGCTGAGTAGAATTGTTAATTATCATTAACGGCTACCCCTTTCATATATAACAAACACCACACAATCGTTACGAACTACAAATAGTTTCAGTGAACCAGCATTGATAAAAACAGCCGAACCTCGTTATCGCGAACCTAGCGCGACCGTGTTGCACCTTCGACATATGTATATGTGTTTATATAATGAGGCTGTTGGGACCGGACAGTTGGTTCGGAATTTCGATATATTCGAGAAAACGGAGTTCGAGATAACGGAGTTCGACTGTACATATGTAAATCTTAAAAACATATATATCCACTGCATGATCTAAAATATGTTGAGACTCTATGACTAAAATAATCAATGTGTACATTAGTCCGTCCCGATACACCCTGATTGATAGTTATTCCAGAATAGAAAATATGGTTTACAGAAAATAATTATTAATTGAATAAGTTCACACTTTCCCTATCAGAAACGACACCCATAGCTCGGGTTTCAGAAGAAACTAAGCATGAGAGGATATCATCATGATATGATGTCATGCCGAGGACAGAGTTATTTTCATAGTTCTGATATCATAATGGCAATTTCAAAATTTGATTTTACCAAGAAATCCCAAAACAAGATATTTGATGTACCTCTGCATGTAGGTGGTTGGAAGTCGAACGATCCGTCGTAGAGGCAGGTGATGCGTGGCTTGCCCTCCATGGTGTAGCCAGGGTCGCAGGTGTAGCTGCAGGTGGAACCATAGATCACGTCGCCGTGTCCACAACTTCGGTTGCCGTTCCGCGGCCAGGCAGGCATTCCACACCTTATTACTGTGCAACAACCACGTGAAGCAAGTACTTGCAGCTACACTGAAATAGTATCTATTCCGGAATTGATTTAAAAGACAAACAGTCCTCCCAACATGTCCCCACTCACCCCACAGTGTAGATGTTACGACCAGTGCATTACCATTATAGTGTGCGTGGTGTGTTGACGCTTTCCTTGTACAGTGAACATTTTTACCACTTGTTTGTAGTTGAGTGAAAATACATACGACATGCAATCATAAATACGTTATCCGCTAAAACATGCTTATTCGTTTTAGTGTGTGAGAAGGATATGATGCTTAGGCCTGACCTGTGACATCAAACGAGAATGTACACGTGTCCTTGAAGCCAGTGGAGTCCATGACGGCGTACGTGATGGTGTGTCTGCCCTCAGAGAACGCCGACCCCGATGCCTGGGACCCCGACACAGGCACGGGGCTATATCACAACAGAGACAACTAACAACATCAGGCAACACACCACGTACCGAATATTTACATGTTAAATGAAGTCACAATTTCACCGTTTTATATTATACAAGTATGTTGTTCTTTCAAATGACCATGGAATACTTCTAATCTTGTAAGATTAGTATCTAAACTTAAAAGCAAGGAACAAAAAAAACATGGCCAGGGAGCCTCTAGAAGACTTATGAAGATTCCCTGTCCTCAGTCACTCACAGAAGAAAAGTACCATCCGCGGAGTTGGCTTGCGGTAATTGCCATTTGACAACGGCTAAGTTTCTTCCAGGGGGCGCCACGATCGGACTTGGTACAGAGGGACACACGATGGCGGGAAGTTGGTATATCCCGCTACCTGCATCTGTTTCATAAAGCAGAATATCTAGCTCATCAGTATTATTAACTGAACGTCATGGTAGAATAATGACCATATAACTGCGATACCTGTCTAACTATGAATTGATTATTAATAACCTATCATAAAGTCGTATTCAGCCGTATGTTATGTATTGGAGAAAACACTTTCCCTCGGTTTTGGTAGACAGAGCATGCCCTGGGGAGAGAAAACCGCGGGGGCTTCGCCTCATTGGTTTTTCCCTCTCCCCAGGGCATGCTCTGTCTACCGAAACCGAGGGAAAGTGTTTTTCCATGCTTATAAACCGAAAAATGAAACTTAAAACAACATTTATCAACATTTTTATGTTTCGAACATGCTTTCCATGAACCTTAGGAAACGCGCGTAAAATATCTGTTGCGGCGTACGGATCTTGAAAAGGACATTCTAGAAACTAGTGAGGCATAACAACACCTCTGTAGCCTCGTGGAACACTCACTGGGCTACAGATATGAAGGTTGCGAGTTCGAACCTCGTGAATATACAGAAAACATTTGTAATTTGATTTTACATTTCATTACATGTTACAATCTGAACGGAAGTTATATTAATAACATACCCAGGACATTATTTAAAATCCCTGGGATATTATATAAAATCCCAGGGACATTAAAACGTCCCTAATCATGACATTTAACCCGACTGGAAAGTAAAACCTCACAAATAGGTCTTAATGCCTATAGAAAGAAGTCTCTTACTTAATAGCGATCCCAATGAATAGGTTTTATAAACTCCATGCATGTGACCCTTACGTTCACTGGCTTCGGGGTTAGAACCCATACTGTTGCAGAAGAACTGGCACATGATGTGAAGCATGTCTGGGGACACAGCTCCAGGCAGCAGACCCATTTCTAGCTGACGCCTTACCCGCCTCTCGCCGATATCTGCCAAGCAGGTTCCAGAAACATACAGATATGTTAAGCAGCAAAACAACACACACATATTTTTATGTATGAAGAGGTGGTTGGAGGTGGGGTGTGATGGTGGTGTTAAGTTAAGGGTGGGTGGATGTGGGATGTTAAGTTGAGGGTGGGTGGATGTGGGATGTTAAGTTGAGGGTGGGTGGATGTGGGGTGTTAAGTTGAGGGCGGGTGGATGTGGGATGTTAAGTTGAGGGCGGGTGGATGTGGGGTGGTAAGTTGAGGGTGGGTGGATGTGGGATGTTAAGTTGAGGGTGGGTGGATGTGGGGTGGTAAGTTGAGGGTGGGTGGATGTGGGATGGTAAGTTGAGGGTGGGTGGATGTTTGGATGGTAAGTTGAGGGTGGGTGGATGTGGGATGGTAAGTTGAGGGTGGGTGGATGTGGGGTGGTAAGTTGAGGGTTGGTGGATGTGGGGTGGTAAGTTGAGGGTGGGTGGACCTGGGATGGTAAGTTGAGGGTGGGTGGATGTGGGCTGGTAAGTTGAGGGCGGGTGGATGTGGGATGTTAAGTTGAGGGTGGGTGGATGTGGGATGTTAAGTTGAGGGTGGGTGGATGTGGGATGTTTAGTTGAGGGTGGGTGGATGTGGGATGGTAAGTTGAGGGCGGATGGATGTGGGATGGTAAGTTGAGGGTGGGGGGATGTGGGATGTTAAGTTGAGGGTGGGTGGATGTGTGGTAGTAAGTTGAGGGTGAGTGGATGTTGGATGGTAAGTTGAGGGTGGGTGGATGTTGGATTGTAAGTTGAGGGTGGATGGAGGTGGGATGGTAAGTTGAGAGTTGGGAGGGAACTGCTTTAAAACATCTCCTTAGAAAGGAGGGGCTGACCAATTGTATTTAATTCACAAATCCTTCAGGTCATCTAGCATGACTCAGCAGATAACTTATTTCACTAAGTCCACCCTGAGGTCTAATTATATAACACGAGCATGAAATACTCATATCCCCCGCTAATATGACATGTCCGGATGTGTGCAAGGCATTTACCCCTTGCAACTATGTTCACTGGACCTTTTTGTAAATGGCCTAATTGCAAGCACTAAAAAGTTATTATCTGCAGTTTATGTTAAGATACGTAACTGTATTTGTGATGAGTTATGTTATTACTGAAACAATAATCAGAGAAGTAAGGGAGTTCTTACTTTACTTAGAGATCATTGAGAGCAGGGGTTACCATGAGGTGTACTGAGAAGTACAGCACCAATCATCTGATGATCTGAGTAGTAGACTCGAGTCTGGAATGCTACAGCACTGGCATGATCAGTAAACATCAAGTCCAGTGTAGCTCCAAGGCAGTGAGTGAATGAGTTGAGCCATTTTCTGCACATTAAAGAAATCTTCAAATTTTAGTTTTTCACTCAGATCACAGTTGAAATTCCCAGTAACTAGGACATGTTCACATTCATGCTGCAGATCCTGAAGTTTTTGCATGAAATCAGTAAGTGAATGCGAGAACCATACCCACGGCATGTTTGGAGGAACATACACACAAGCAATGCAGAGCTTGCCAACAAGAAGGGAAATGTATTCAATCCTGCGGGATGACGTTACATCACACCGTTCTTGAAACTTGTTGAAACATACACAGCAATACCATGTGTAGTGTCTCCTGGATAGACTTGATAACCTTGGAAGTATATTTTATTGTTATCATTGATATGAGTTTCTGTTAAACACAAAACATAAACCACACAAACAAACTTATCATTCTTCACATCTTCAGTATGAGCATTGACTGATCGAACACCTTGAGACCATCACCAAGACCATTCTGTACAGGATGTGTCCAGGTGAACAGTCGTTCATTCCGCATTCTAGTCATCTCATCCAACCCTTTTTTGTTTACCACAATTCTGTGTTCATTAAAAACTACAAGTTTAAGGCCTTTCCTTGATTTGTGCCTACTGACAATTATATACACTTGATCAGGCTACTCAGACAACCCTGCGGGGGTCTCTTTGTAGAATGTGTAAACGGTTTCTTAGTTATGCGGAAACGAATGCCATGGAAATATTCTAAGAAACTCCCAACCTATCTATGTGCCACGTTTGGTGAAGAAATATTGTACGGTTTTCAAGATCTGCTACGGAAACGAGCACTACACCCATTTTCAGTCTAATTTAAACTTGTTGCTACGGAAATTATGTCAAACATTCCCAACTATCAAATGGCACCAGTTCATCACTAGACCTATCTATATGCCAAGTTTAGTTTAGTCCCATGGAAAGTTCTCCTCCGGAAACCAAACGTGACGGACGGACAGCACTCATTCCTATATCCCCCTTACACTTCGTGGCGGGGGATCATAAACATATCAACATATACCGATGATATCCACGACACCCCTACATGTATGTAAGTAATGCTGTAACGTCACCTACAGTCAGAACAAGGAAACTGCTTCCAGATTACCCCGTCACAGCGAATACAAGTGTGTATCTCGCCCAGTAGAAAGACGCAGACAGAGCCGCTGGGGAAAGGTCCTCGTGAAGACCATAGCTTAACTGTGTCCACGGGGCCGAGGAGATCATGGGTGCAGCGTTCAGGAACCATGGCAGCTGGGTGGGTGTGACACCCGAGCTCCGTTACTGCTCCAGCACCCTGTGTGGGCGAAAACATCCGAACTAGATAACTGAATGTTATAATTGTTATTTGCTAGTCCAAATGTAGATTATATACCTCTTCATTATACATTTGAAATATCACATTTCAACACTCAGTTGGGTTATCTCATAATAAACACCTGCCTACGTGTACGCGGGTCACTCACCTTCCAGCTACTTTATGTAATACATCTACCTACATCAACCATCTACCTCAAAAAGAGAGACCGACCAAGATCATCGAACGAAGTGGACGAACTGTACAGTAAGTCGTGACGCGGGTCTCCTCACCGGGAACATTGGCTCCTGTCCTCTAAACCTTCACCCCTGACTTCAGTCTTCAATCTACAACATACATTGCTCCTGTCGTCTAAACCTTCACTTCTGAGTTTAATCGTCCATCTACAATATACTTAGCTCCTCTCGTCTAAACCTTCACTTCTGAGATTAATCGTCCATCTACAACATACATTGCTCCTGTCGTCTAAACCTTCACTTCTGAGTTTAATCGTCCATCTACAATATACTTAGCTCCTGTCGTCTAAACCTTCACTTCTGAAAATAGTCGTCCATCTACAATATACTTAGCTCCTGTCGTCTAAACCTTCACTTCTTAGTTTAGTCGTCCATCTACATTATACTTAGCTCCTGTCGTCTAAACCTTCACTTCTGAAAATAGTCGTCCATCTACAATATACTTAGCTCCTGTCGTCTAAACCTTCACTTCTGAGTTTAATCGTCCATCTACAATATACTTAGCTCCTGTCGTCTAAACCTTCACTTCTTAGTTTAGTCGTCCATCTACAATATACTTAGCTCCTGTCGTCTAAACCTTCACTTCTTAGTTTAGTCGTCCATCTACATTATACTTAGCTCCTGTCGTCTAAACCTTCACTTCTGAAAATAGTCGTCCATCTACAATATACTTAGCTCCTGTCGTCTAAACCTTCACTTCTGAGTTTAATCGTCCATCTACAATATACTTAGCTCCTGTCGTCTAAACCTTCACTTCTGAGATTAGTCGTCCATCTACTATATACTTAGCTCCTGTCGTCTAAACCTTCACTTCTGACTTCAGTCTTCAATCTACAACATACATTGCTCCTGTCGTCTAAACCTTCACTTCTGAGTTTAATCGTCCATCTACAATATACTTAGCTCCTGTCGTCTAAACCTTCACTTCTGACTTCAGTCTTCAATCTACAACATACATTGCTCCTGTCGTCTAAACCTTCACTTCTGAGTTTAATCGTCCATCTACAATATACTTAGCTCCTGTCGTCTAAACCTTCACTTCTGAGTTTAATCGTCCATCTACAATATACTTAGCTCCTGTCGTCTAAACCTTCACTTCTGAGATAAGTCGTCCATCTACAATATACTTAGCTCCTGTCGTCTAAACCTTCACTTCTGACTTCAGTCTTCAATCTACAACATACATTGCTCCTGTCGTCTAAACCTTCACTTCTGAGTTTAATCGTCCATCTACAATATACTTAGCTCCTGTCGTCTAAACCTTCACTTCTGACTTCAGTCTTCAATCTACAACATACATTGCTCCTGTCGTCTAAACCTTCACTTCTGAGTTTAATCGTCCACCTACATTATACTTAGCTCCTGTCGTCTAAACCTTCACTTCTGACTTCAGTCTTCAATCTACAACATACATTGCTCCTGTCGTCTATACCTTCACTTCTGAGTTTAATCGTCCATCTACAATATACTTAGCTCCTGTCGTCTAAACCTTCACTTCTGAGTTTAATCGTCCATCTACAATATACTTAGCTCCTGTCGTCTAAACCTTCACTTCTGAGTTTAGTCTTCCACCTACATTATACTTAGCTCCTGTCGTCTAAACCTTCACTTCTGACTTCAGTCTTCAATCTACAACATACATTGCTCCTGTCGTCTAAACCTTCACTTCTGAGTTTAATCGTCCATCCACAATATACCTGGCTCCTGTCGTGTAAACCTTCACCCCTGAGTTTAGTCGTCCATCTACATTATACTTAGCTCCTGTCGTCTAAACCTTCACTTCTGAGTTTAATCGTCCATCTACAATATACTTAGCTCCTGTCGTCTAAACCTTCACTTCTGAGTTTAATCGTCCATCTACAATATACTTAGCTCCTGTCGTCTAAACCTTCACTTCTGAGATAAGTCGTCCATCTACAATATACTTAGCTCCTGTCGTCTAAACCTTCACTTCTGACTTCAGTCTTCAATCTACAACATACATTGCTCCTGTCGTCTAAACCTTCACTTCTGAGTTTAATCGTCCATCTACAACATACATTGCTCCTGTCGTCTAAACCTTCACTTCTGAGTTTAGTCGTCCATCTACAATATACTTAGCTCCTGTCGTCTAAACCTTCACTTCTGAAAAAAGTCGTCCATCCACAATATACCTGGCTCCTGTCGTCTAAACCTTCACCCCTGAGTTTAGTCGTCCACCTACAATATACTTGGCTCCTGTCGTGTAACCCTTCACTTCTGAGTTTAGTCATTCATCTACAATATACTTGGCTCCTGTCGTCTAAACCTTCACTTCTCAGTTTAGTCTTTCATCTACAATGTATCTGTCTACTGTCGTCTAAACCTTCACTTCTGAGTTTTGTCTTCCATCTACAATATACTTAGCTCATGTCGTCTAAACCTTCACCCCTGAGTTTAGTTATTTAACTACAATATACTTGGCTCCTGTCGTCTAAACCTTCACTTCTGAGTTTTGTCGTCCATCTACAATATACTTAGCTCCTGTCGTCTAAACCTTCACTTCTGAGTTTAGTCATTCATCTACAATATACCTGGCTCCTGTCGTCTAAACCTTCACTTCTGAGTTTTGTCTTCCGTCTACAATATACCTGGCTCCTGTCGTCTAAACCTTATTTTCTGAGTTTTGTCTTCCGTCTACAGTATACCTGGCTACTGTCGTCTAAACTTTTACTTCTGAGTTTAGTCTTCGACCATTCTAACATCTTTTAGCTGTTTGAATATAATAACACGTCCCATTTTAATTCTTGAAACCCAATAGTCCAGAAACTCTACGGTCTTTGCCCAGTCTCGGTCAAAGGTATTTACAAAATTAAACATGCTGTTTTCATGGGAACACACCAAGGAAGAAAAAATGAAAAAGAAATTGTTCAAAAACTCAATATTTACACTATGTGGCCAAAATCCTTTCCTTTGCGCAAAACTCATGTTTTTGTTTCGCAAATAAATACAGGTGTTCTTGCAAGTTTCATGACAAATAATTTTACTCATTTTAACCTCATTCAACGATTTTATAGCGATATTGAAATATTTCGTTATCGTTTGGCCCATGGGCGAGAATATTTTCCTTTGCTCAAAACTCATGGTTTTGTTTCGCAAATACATAAAGGTGTTCTTACAAGTTTCATGACATATAATATAACTCATTTCAACTTAATTCAACTATTTTACGGCGTTATTGAAATATTTCACCCTGGACGAGAACGTTTGGCCCATGGGCGAGAATATTACAATCTGCCACACCACGCGTGAATAAACAGTTATGCAGGTGATGCTGTGGGAATATACCTAGCCTGTTCATATATATTTTGTTGATATATGTATTCAATATTTTCGTTAATCTGTGGATATATTAAGCACAAAGACACAAAAAGTTTATGAACGATGAATTAGTGCTTGATATATTCAACGAGATGTGTATCATCGTTGAATGGGTCATTCAATAAAAGTATGTTTGGAGGCGATATCAGAGGCGCCGCCCAATATACACAGTGTCGTCCGGTGAACTGGCGTTCTAACGGCTAATTCAAAATATTAATTGTAAAAAAGTTCGTATGTAACGTATGTCGTATAGAGTCCTCTTATTTGATAAAAAACAACAACAGTAACAGCACGTCAACTGGAAAATCAACTGGATGTTACATTCTTTATATCAGCTAACGGCCCTGTTTGTAAAAATATGCACTAGACATAAGATTAAGACCGCATATACCATAAAACCGAATAAAATTTGTCTTGGTATCATCTCTTGTGTATTAGATGATGGTAATGACCTGAAATGTTATAACGTTAGATTAGAAAGGAGAAACATTAAAGTGTTTTAAAATACTTGGGAACATGAGCAATAAGATATAGCAACATAAACATGCAAGGAATGGAATAGAGAGGGAACGTGACGAAGACAAATTGAAATAGATTTTAATAAAACATTATTGAACGAAACAACTTGCACAAAAGCGGTGCCAAAAATTGTTAGACCGTATTTTGTGTGTTGTAGACTGACGACTAGCAAGTAATTGTCATGATGTACGCATGGTTTCATATAAAAATTCAGATATGCAACCGGTATGAAGCTGAGAACTGAGATGCCAAGTATAACCTGCATTCACACACGGAATCAAAATACTTGTGTGTATGCCCTCTCCTCTGAAAAATGTATCACTTAAGTATTTGCATTGTAATAAATAAAGTATTTAATAAAACTTGGTAATTTGGTGGGTCTTCGTCAGATATGATTTTCAGGGTTTTTTAAAGCCTTTGATTGATACGGATTACGTACATGTAGTCACTGTCTCTAATGAATCTAAGTAAGGATAATAATTTATGGATGAACAACTTCTTTATCACAATTAAGAGCGACGTTTCGGTGGAAGTTATATCTTGCTTGATAACGGTGTTAGAACCTACATCGAAACATCGCTCTTAATTGTAATAAAGAAGTTGTTCATCCATAAAGTCTTAACCTTACTTAATACTTCAACTTCTAAATGCCCATCAAAGAAGAAATATAATGTATCTGCTCGTAAGAATTTTCAAATATCATGGTATAACACTGTTCCTAAAATAAGGCAGCTTCTTTTATCGGGTATAAATAGTTGATTCGTCTAGTCACGCAGTCATGTTTACCTGATCGAATGATTTCCACGAAACATTCCGGCAGAGAATTTTGTATTTTATTATATACATGTATTGTTGATTGTGGAAAATACTTATATCACTGTATCTCAGAACGCAAAACTGATAACATTCAAAATGTAATTAGTACAGGGGCCTGAAGTTAGCAGCGGGTTGGTTATTCGTTATTCGTTTTTCGAATAACGAAAAGCAAGCCAGCACCGGGTTCGTTATTCAAAGGCTGTATATTAAACAACAACGGTAATGTGGTCAAATACACTAACTCATTTATTATATGACAGCAGGTTCGTCTTACATCATCATCCAAAAGCTGTTTAGTTATTCAGTACTTTTGAATAACGAAAAACAAACCAGCACCGGGATCGTTATTCAGACTTGGTATAACAAATATAAGATACCAGTGAGTTCGTTATTCGTCATTCGTTTATCGAATTCTATTATGAAAATAGTCACGGGGGCTTTCTCAGCCGACCTTTGAGATTTGACACCTATGTGAAACACCTGAAACAATCTTAGTGATCAGTTGAGAAACGAACACGGGTTATAATATCCCGAAACGATATACTAGTATATGTTTTAAAATACAGAGACACGTGACATCGAATAAGTTTCTTTGTACATCTGCAGACGTGTGGGATATTGTTCCTTTGTGTGGATATTCACGGATACATTCATCGAACAAGGAAGCTGCCTAAAATTATACCCATAAATTTGGTAGGTTGTAATTATGAAATTTGCATTTTGTTTTCCTTCATTTGCTGTAGTAGTGAACAGATTCATTCTTGTTCCTCTACGCCTTGGTTGGGAAATTCTTCGATGCGCGATAGACGTTGTTTTCACAAGTTGTTTCCTTTGTAAGCATGTTTATATTACAGTCAATTTGTAAAATGTGATTCTCTCAGGCAATTTATAAAATGCGTAAATATTTCAGTCATTTTGACTGAAAAATCTGTCCATTTCTTTAACAGATTGACTAAAATTAATTAAGACGATCAAAAGGGTCTAAAAACATCACAATAGATTATTATGTAGGATTAGAAGCCAAACAATATAGAAATGTACTTTTCATCGTAACCTTTTCAGTCTCTTGGTGATGATATTAAAGATAACAATGTTTGGAATTCGTTATCATAATCATACAGATGGACATATTTTTCTGTCAATTTGTAAAATAACTGAATATTTAGGCGTTTAATAAATTCCCTAAGTGAAAATTTTGCACATTTTGACTGTAAGAATATAAACACAATAAAATAAGCAATGCTAAGGAGAAATATTTACTTTGTGTTGCAAGTCAAAATAGTGTGAACGAAAATCGCACAATTACCAAGCAAGTGACTTATCAAAACTTCGTCACCATTACCGATGCTACCCACAAAGATACCTCCATTTCCATATTATTTCCAAAACTGTATTTCATTTTGTTGATCAATGTGACCATACGCCCTTATACTATCAATAAAAGTGACAAATGCGCTTACGAATTGTGCAGCACATGTTGCGAACTAGTCTAGATTTCTGCTATATCATCCGGGTACTCAATGGAAAAAAACAATAACAAAGGCAACAACCAGTCCCGGGGAATTGGTTTAGATCAGTGCCCCTTTAAGGGTCGCAGGTCTTGGTGTGGGATGGAGTACAGAGGCAATGACTTTGCCGACGAGATTGGGTGGATAATTGTTGAGGCGGGTGAAGACTTGGCGGAGGTGTTCGATCTCAGGTTTGGGGTGAGCAGAGGAAAGGTTGATGGCTTGATTGTGTCTACCTTGTTGATTGTTACTATACTTTGAGGATTTCTGTTGCGGACGTAATTCAAACCCTTTCCACACTGACACCGCATCAAAGATATTTGTGTACCGATTACATAACTCTTACTGACAGGGTGGGGTGGTAGTTCACGCGAAACGGACGACATTGTGTAAATTGGGCGGCGCCTTTGATATCGCCTCACAACATACTTTTATTGAATGACCCATTAAACGATGATACACATCAGGATCGCGGAGAAAATACAAGATTCGTTGTCGTTGAATATATCAAGGCACCAATTCATTTGTGTCTTTGTGCTTAATATATGCACATATCAACGAAAATGTGTAATACCTATCAAACAAATACATGTATCCACAAACAAAGAGCCAAACCTTTTTCTCGCCCATGGGCGAAATATTTCAATGTTGCTACTAAATCGTTGAATTAGGTTAAAATGAGTTAAATTTTGTGTCATGATACTTGCTAAACAAATACAAGAGTTTTGAGCAAATGAAAATATTCTCGCCCATGGGCCTACCCATGGGCCACCCTTCGCCAATGGGCCACATAGTGTAAAGATTGAGATGTTTAATTTTGTAAATACCTTTGACTGAGGCTGGGCAAAGACCGTAGAGTTTCTGGACTATTGGGTTTCAAGAATTAAAATGGGACGTGTTATATACAAATAGCGCACATACTATGCAGTGCCATGTCCGTAGAATGGCGACAAGGAACTGCAACTGATCTTGATAGCGGGCTTTGTTGGGGCTCACACCATACATGTTCAGTTGAATCAGGTGGGAGTGCTGTATGATGCAGCAGGTTTGGTAATGTCCCCGCAGTCTTCCAAAAATTGTTTTAAAGGTTTACTGAGGCCTTGTTTTTATGTAACCTTGATCAAACAACTTCAGAGCAAGAGTCGTATGATGCTCTTTGAAACCTTGGTAGAAAGTTCATGGTCGATATTTACTTTATTGGAAAGTTTACGTCACCCCTCTTGTCATACAGTCTTGTGGAGAGTGTTTTGTCACGTTTATGCATAGATCAAAATGTGAAACAGGTGAGGCGGTTTCAGTGGACTCCTTTATTTCTAGTTCAGATGGGTAAATCAGTGGAACGGAATGGTCTATATAAAGGTTTTTGAACGACATTAGATCATCCATATACCTGAAGCTTAAGTTAAACTTCTTGGCTAAATTACCTTCTTTTGACCTTGCGAGTTTGTCTAATTTTCAAAGGTCACAGAACCCGGGTTGCTTTACTGACTTGTCACAAGAGAAACAATTTTCTCAAGTAACTGCTGCTTCCGAGCACATTCTACCAGAAGAGTTTCAGTACGCAGTCGTAATTATACATATCACCTGTCCACAATATCCATGTATTGCCTTGGTAAAAAGCAAAAGGATTTAGCTTAATAGTAACGTGATCTATAGCTTCGATCTGTAGCCATGATGAAATAAAGAAAATTCAGCAAGTTTGCCCCCATAACCACGGTGTGTCAACAAGGACAGTGGTAAATTGCATTAAATTTTAAAAAATGCAAACTTCTAGGATACAGGGATGTTTTGCTCCAGACACAAATAGATGTAGTAGTGAGTGAGTGAGTTGGGTTTAACGCCGCTAGAAACATAATCGGGGCGAAACGGGATTCGAACCCACAATCATAGGTTTCTGGTGTGCCCAGGGGGCGCAACTCTGCTCAGCGAATCGCGGCGCATTCGACGACGACGCATAATGGATATTTGTTAGATATATATAAAGAGTAAATTTAAATATGTAAGTGATGGACAAGATAAGTTTGTGAAAATAAAATAAGACCAAAATATGTGCAAAAATATCTTTATACAAAGTGCTGCTAGTATACCTGCTAAATCTACCACCCGACCAGGTGAAGCTGGGGTCGAAATGATGTATTTTGCAAAGGGAAACGCTGTTCCTGGTTCAATCAACCTCAATCCTCAATATACTTGATATTCGCCACATCCATATATGTAACAGACCAAGGCAAAGAAACTCATTTTTCCAACCTAAACTATATATCACGTTTTCATTACGTAAGAAAATCTAAAAAACCCGGCATTTACTGAAAGTTGCCCAACGATTTTAAGTCCTATAAGACTTTCTATTTATGCATCGAAGTTAATCAGCCAAACTGATGCTACAGCAATGGTGCTTCAATAAACGAGTGTGTCTTTATCTCAGTGTGACATGTCTTATGATTACATCCATATCAACTAGTTTACAAACCTCTTTTGGTGAAGTCAGTGCGCCATGGCAATAAGCAGTGTTGTGGACTAGGAGAAAGCCGAGGACCAGACAGGAGGAGAGATCTCGAGCCATCACGCCAGGCTGCACCAAGCTCACTTGTGTGAAACATGCAAGACAAACTGCGACTGTTAAAACCATGTCATTTAATGGCAGGCCCTTTCCCCCCTTGATACTTCATTACAGCAATATATTCCTCATTTAAAGGCTTTCAGAAGACAAACAACACATTCCACCTGACAAACATGTGGCTTTTAACATCACCCAGCATTAATTTCTGCAAACGTCATGGCTTGATATATTCCTCTACATGCTCATTGCATGGAGCTACGTCACGAGTGTGCGGACTGTCGATATCACAAAACATTGTGTGTTTCATTATAAACAGGGACATTTATCGGCAATTTTCCCTTTGCACTCTCTTTCACGCGTACCCAAACAGCATGATACGATAGATGATCTCATATGCTTCTATGGCAAGTGAATTCACGTTGAAGGCAGAATGTAAGAAAAAACATCGACGTTTTACTGAAAAGTATTATCAAACGCAATATGGAATGCTTAGTTACCTGTCGGTAAAAGAATTCACCCGCATCGAGTCCCACATACCAACCACAATGAAGCCAGATAGTTTCATGTGTTAAATCTGTATAAGGGGACATGCTAAGAGAACATGTTAAGAGTTCAGAGACTCTCGTATTATTCTTACATCTCAATTTGTTGACACAGGCTTATGTTAGATTGTGGTGGCAAGTAAGGGTTCAGAGAGAAGTGAGTATTGAATTGTCTCTATAAGGTCGTCTTATCTTATGTTAGATTGTGATGGCAAGTAAGTGTTCAGAGAGAAGTAAGTATTCAATTGTATCTATAAGGTCGTCTTATCTCATGTTAGATTGTGATGGCAAGTAAGTGTTCAGAGAGAAGTAAGTATTGAATTGTCTCTATAAGGTCGTCTTATCTTATGTTAGATTGTGATGGCAAGTAAGGGTTCAGAGAGAAGTAAGTATTCAATTGTATTTATAAGGTCGTCTTATCTGATGTTAGATTGTGATGGCAAGTAAGTGTTCAGAGAGAAGTAAGTATTCAATTGTATCTATAAGGTCGTCTTATCTGATGTAAGATTGTGATGGCAAGTAAGTGTTCAGAGAGAAGTAAGTATTGAATTGTATCTATAAGGTCGTCTTATCTCATGTTAGATTGTGATGACAGGAAGTGTTCAGAGAGAAGTAAGTATTGAATTGTATATATAAGGTCGTCTTATCTGATGTTAGATTGTGATGGCAAGTAAGTGTTCAGAGAGAAGTTAGTATTCAACTGTATATATAAGGTCGTCTTATCTGATGTTAGATTGTGATGGCAAGTAAGTGTTCAGAGAGAAGTTAGTATTCAACTGTATATATAAGGTCGTCTTATCTTATATAAGATTGTGATGGCAAGTAAGTGTTCAGAGAGGAGTAAGTATTGAATTATTTCTATAAGGTCGTCTTATCTAATGTTAGATTGTGATGGCAAGTAAGTGTTCAGAGAGAAGTAAGTATTCAATTGTATATATAAGGTCGTCTTATCTGATGTTAGATTGTGATGGCAAGTAAGTGTTCAGAGAGAAGTTAGTATTCAACTGTATATATAAGGTCGTCTTATCTTATATAAGATTGTGATGGCAAGTAAGTGTTCAGAGAGAAGTAAGTATTGAATTGTATCTATAAGGTTGTCTTATCTAATGTTAGATTGTGATGGCAAGTAAGTGTTCAGAGAGAAGTAAGTATTGAATTGTTTCTATCAGGTTGTCTTATCTTATGTTGGTGGTTGACAACAATAAAACTAATTTGAAATTTGACTAGATGAAACATGTTTCTACTTTCCAGGTCATCATAAGTTGCACAAGTTATTAATAAACGATATTCTTCTTCAAAGTCATAACATATTGAACGGAATTATGATATAGCTGTCCTTTTCCTTATAGAATTTGTAAGTTTAGCAGACAACGTTATATTTAAACAAAGAATATTACAGGTGCTTGAGCTGCTTTGAAGCTTATTGCATCAGTCTGAAAGCAATAAATGGATCATAATTCGTATAACTGAACATACAATCTGTCGCCGTTTTTACGAAAGCCTAATGGCTCCACTTTGGTTGCATAATTTTCTCGTTATTTCAGTTATCTTCTCGAAATTAGGAGTTTTGTCTCGTTATTTCCAGTTTATCTAAAAAAACTCGAAATTTCGATTATTTTCATTTTATTCGATTATTTTTTCGGTATTTCAAGGTGTCTTTAAATCAAAGTGCACAATTTTCACCTCAATCATCCCACTAGTGTGATGCATTTGAAAACTATATCATGTGTTACAAATGCCCATATCATGAATCGGATAAGTAGAATGCACATGTTGTAATACAAGATACCAGATTAAATCTTTCCTATTGATGTTTCCTTCTTCTGAACTGTGTTATTAGTGTTTCCACCTTATTATTTTTTTTCATAATCCAGATAGTCAGTGACAGTTGGCTTAACAGTGTGATGTTTTTTTCTAAAAATATATCAACAATGACTGAAAAACTAATGCTGACATTATTTTAAAAAAAATAATGATCGTAAATAATAATTTTTCTGCAAGAGCCGACATTTGCCCGAGGAAGCCCTTAATATTAACCATACACATATATTTAAAAATTGCAGTGTTATAGGACGAAATCCCCCGGAATGAATACGAATTTCAGTGAATCTAGGCGTCCATCTTAATAATTCTTATGCGGGTCAAGAATATATATCTGTGTATATTAATATGTTTACTTATTGTATGACGTTTCTGATAAATAATATCAATATACAAGGTAAAAGGAGCCCGTTTACTTTGTCAAGAGTGCAAACAAAATGAATTAAGTATTGACTCTTTTTCAAAATCTGACTATAACGCTTTTGCAAGAGTGATCAGTTGCCCAACATTGTTTTTTTGTAAATCGCCAGTGTGTTCCCTTTATTGGAAATAATCACCACAATTTTATATCAGAGGGGGTAATTTTGCATCATGTCACAAGTCTTGGCTCCCGGACTATAAGCACCTACTGTTCTTCACTGAGTCTTCCAATTTCTTTCTTGAATTCCAATGAGAAATAATAATAATCTACAGGTTTTACTGTTCATGTAACTGCAAGACCAGAAAGCGCAGCTATTAAGTCTTCATAACCTTTCTGTAGTTACTCCTCGCAGAAAGTAATCTAAAACCGCTGCCGTAGTTCTTCCACCACATAGCTCCTAGTCCTGCACCATGACCGTGGAATATATTTATTTTATGAAAAATAATAATCTAGAAATGCATACAAAAGCAAGTCTAGCCAGCCCAAGCTAGCTCTACTCTGAAATCAGCATAGGGAATTTTTTTTATTTTTAGAGTCAAGAAGGATATTGTGTAATATAAGATTTCAGAGACTAAATGTTAGTCTACATAGCTCCATCTGTCCTCTTTACAGCTGGCGCCTCCCACAGCCCATTAGACAGCAGGTCAAGTTGACTAGATTCCAGATGTTTCAAGAGAATACAAAACATCTGTGATGCAAACTTTGTCCCTTTCACACTGGCTATAAGGCTTCACCTGCTATGTGTTTGTTTGTAGCTCTATGACACTGCCTTGTGTCAAGCTCGGCAGTTGGTTAGGAATGACTGCTGACCACACGTTACTGACTGGCTGATAGGTTTATTACAAAACAAGGCCCTTCTAGATGGGGACATTTTCTGCGAATTGCACCGGAGCATAGCATTATTCAGTCATTTTTGAGCACTTCGATTCTGGGTCACACATGGTCGTCATGTTGTTCATCTGTCACACCCTGTCCGATGATCTCCCAATAGGTATTGGTGTTCCGTCCTGGTCCTAGTTAACTTGTTTGACGAATAAATACGGGAACTGATGTAAATATCGACCACTATACCTGACGCATGCGCAATCTTCAGTAATCTCAGTAACATGTATGTGTGTATCCTATCGTGACATGTGTCAGCGCAACAGAGACGGAACCGGGGTACTCTTTCAGTGATATCATTAAGTTGGGACATGTAAATGATAAACTTGATATTTCTAATAAAACACAACTAAACAAACAATTAAGATTGCTGTACAATACATTGGCAAACATCAGGTAAAGCCATGAGTAAAACACATGAATAATAGGGGGACACCTCGGTTTGCCGGCACCTATTGTTCTGGGTTAAACATTACCCAACCATTACTGACAAGTGTACAATAGAGGGATTATGCGGATTAAAAAGGGATTTAAAAGAGGGCAACATGACTTTCGTTATTTTATTTCTCATGAACATACAGCATACATTATAAATCATACATGTGTTCATACATACAAAATATATAAACTTAAAGTCAGAAATTAAATTAATTATTTACACTTCACATACATTTTAACTCACAAACCAATAAATCTTGCCACAGATTCAGCATATTCTGTTGGTGACTTGAGCTCTGCCAACAACTCCTGCTTTTCCCTCTCAATACCGCTATCCACATTGCGGTACTTCCTCCGCTTTGGAGGAAGTCGCCCACCAGTCTGGATTTGCAGCAGCAGTGACTCTACAAAACAGTGTTCTTTTTTTAAACTGTCAATGAATTTGAATATATTTGGATGACCCCTGTTTGCCTAGCTTACCACGCCAGCCTTCCAAATTGTTTGTGGTTCTGGAACCCACTGTCTCGAAGTGGTTCCACATGCTGCGACCATCACTCTCCATCCACTGTTCAGTAACATAATCTGCAAACCTCAGCACCAGTGGATCGTCAAAGTTTGCTTCTTTAAGGGCTGCCATCCACACATCGTCGATGTCACACATTCTCACCAGTGGCAGGGCTGGGGCTCTCCTTACCAGGAGTTTCACATTGTCATCGGTCTTATTCAAGGTCTGAAGTCCATTCTTCAGGGCATTTCTCCAGATTGTATAATGAAACAGACAACCTTTGGGCTGGCATTGAAAGGTATCTCTGACGGCATTCTTACTTACTTACTTACTTTGGAGATTTAATGTGTTTTCCGAAAGGGGCGAATTAAAGTGGTGTGTGCAACCCAAGAGGGAGCTTTAGGGGTTGCTTATATCGAATTTGGGAATTTTGAGATTTGGAATAGATGC